AGTTTGCAGTTATACCATTTTGAATCATTAATTAGTTCGTGGGAAAACCTCAAATGTTGAGAAACAAGAAAAACAAAAGTCTCTACAAGACAGAGCTATGAGTAGGATGCAGTACAATAAGCGATTTGTAGAAGCTGTATAATAATCTAGTGGAAGAACATAATTAAATATGATTAATGTTTGACTGAGGAAGCTTCACTTTTTTCTTTTCAGACTTGACTTTTGAACTCATTCTGTAGTACCAGCATTGGCTTTCGAAACCAGCTGGTTTTATGACATGAGTTTTAAGAAGGATCGATTAAAAGCCTCCCTAACAACAGCCGATGAGTCCCACAATAGAACAAAACGGCCGTCTAGTGCTTTCACGTTTTCCATGGTAGTCTAGCTTAAATCGACTAATGATCTGAATTATTAAAATTAAAAATTGTTTATTGATCAAATTCATTATGGTATTAGGGAATTTGTGTCTTTCTGGAAAATAGATATCGGTTATTAAACTATAATGTTTTTTCACAATTGATTGATCACTGGGTGGTGGTCAATCTCATGCGTGTCAAGTCCTTCTTAGTGCTGATCGAATGCTATCGATCGAGTTGCAATGTGACCACCAGTCTAGGTGGCTCGACACTGCTTGCACTATGTATATTGAGGTAAGATGGTGGTTGGAAGTGGTCAACAGGAAACCCTGGACCCGGGTTTCGTGCTACTTGGCACTCGTCAGCAAGGTGTACCTGTAATCCTGAGGGAACTGATGCTCCCTGGCGGATTCGATCCCGCGTCACTCAGCTTCACAATCAGAGACGTTACCACTGAGCTATTCGGGCCGCGACCAACCTCCTGTAGGTCTGAGATGTAATCACAATTGATTGATCACTGTGTGGTGGTCAATCTCATGCGTGTCAGGTCCTTCTTAGTGCTGATCGAATGCTATTGGTGATAATCATTATGATTATGAATATTTCACAGAGCAAATATGATAATTTGGTTTAATATCCAGTTTAGTAATGAGGAAAGAATATTCATTATGTTGTTAAAAATAAGAGATGAAACTTTGTGAAAGTTGAGCAACAAAAACTAATATGGTGTGGGTTACTTATATCCACATAAGTAGTATATGGTGATGGTCAGGCATTGAATGTATTTCCCTAGAAGATCGATAACGAAAGAACGGGAACGAAATGTAATTAGTATGAAAATGCATAAACAATAATAATCAGAGAATATGGACTGATATTTTGCAGAAGGGATAGTCAAGATTGATACAACTGATTGATAGTTTGTAAATTAACTTTTCACTGTATGGTTATCAGAATTTAGTGAGATAGACTGTAATTCGTGCTTAAATACATCCGCTTTGTCCCCACTCGTCTTCTTATTCACTACATTAATAATACACATCTGAAATCATAGACTTGTTATTTCCAAACACTTAACATTAGACTAGATACAACGTACATTGTTTTAATCTATTGAGTATCTGTTATACGGACAAAGAATCTTGACCGCATATCTTCAGATATCTAATAAAGGTATTGGAGAACTAAAGTGAAATGTTATGCGTTACAGTGAAGGTATGAATATTCACATTGAAATATTTGAAGTGTTACAGATAGGTTGAAACACATATCTTAGATTTCAATATCAGCCATATATTCAACTATTCTATTGAAATAAAATGTTATAATTCAATTCTAGTTAGTTTACTACGGGATAGGTTCGCTAAATCCATGACAAACCCTCCTCCTTTATCGAGGCTTGGGACCGGCAGTAGCCCCCGGAGAAGCTACAGGCGGAGTTATTTCAAAGATCTATTCATATTAATTGACTAACATAAATATACTAATGAGATTTATTTTTCCTTATACAGTGATTCATGTGAAATGATTTCATATATTCCCTTTTTGTATAAACGTCGATTGAATCTTCTATACATCATATCGATAGTGGACATTCATATAATACATTTGTATAGTGATACGTTAACATACATCCATTTATCAATTATGATTGAATTGAACAAGAACATGGGTAGGGACAATCGAATGTAGTTGAGCACAAAATTACAGACTATCTCACTAAATTCTGATAACCATACAGTGAACAGTTAATTGGCAAACTATCAATCCATTGTCTCAATCTTGACTATTCCTTCTGCAAATATCTATCCATCGTCTCCGATTATTATTGTTCATGCTCCGTCCCCGTTCTTTCGTTATCGATCCTCTACTAAAATACATTCTATGCCTAACCATCACTATATACTACTTATGTGGATATAAGTAACCAACACATTAATTTACTTACTCCTGTTACCCCTCGTAGAAGAGCATGGGCCACACACCAGCATTCTCTATCCAACCCTGTCCTGGGCAGTCCGTTACAGTTCTTTACAGTCAACATTCATCCTTTTCATATCTGCTTCTATTTCCCGGCGTAGTGTTCTTTTGCCTTCCTCTTTTCCGTTTCCCTTCAGGATTCCAAGTTAGGGATTGCCTGATGATGCTCATTGATGATTTCCTTAATGTATATCCGATCCACTTCCAACGCCTGTAGCTCTTCTAAAGTTATTGCCAGTCACATGCCCGAGTAAAAGAGGAGATTCGGGAATGAGGTTAGCAACCCCATCCCGTAGAAAAGCTAACTCGCTAAAAAAAAATCACTAACCAGAAAAAAAAAATTCAAACCATTTAAACTCTACCCTAGAAGTTGAAGGTATAATTATAACACCTCGTGATGAAAGCCGAAATTCTCCGAAAGTCACAAGGCCGATGAACCTAACCCACATCACATTATCACATATTAACAACTCACCTATATATGTATACATAAAGTTGTTTCTTTGACATTTAGGTAACTGATTATTTTGTTTATTGGTATTTATTTTTTGTCAGTAATACATGAAGTTTCATGTTAGGCAAACAATGATTACGTCATTTTATTGTTTATCAAAATAATGATAGTTCATTACATTCAAATGTTAATAAGAGAAAAAAAAGTGTTACTTTATAAATTAGATCAAAAGAAATTTCTAATGATGTAATTGTTGGTAGACTCGAATCTCCTTGATGTAGGCCCAAATCATCATATATTAATGAGTACATTCTCAATCAATCAGGAATTATGGATAAACTGAGTGTAAGTTAGGAGTTTTGGTATAAACATACATTATTGACAACATTGAGAAACTTATAAAGTAAGTCAAAGTATTCTCAGTAGTTTGCATCCACGATCCTACCTCACGAGATTCGAATACAGGATCTATCAGTCTTGTGTGCGAACGCTTGAAATCTAGATCACTGAACCGACGGGCATCCAACGGTGTTAATGTCTAACTTCAACTAATCCAAGAAATTGAGTAACACATCCAGCATTGCCTTCAGTGACTTACTATCTCACTGATAGATTCGAGGTTCGATTCTCGCGAGCTGGGATCATGGATGTGCACTGATGAGGAATCACATAATAGGATGAAATGGCCATCTAGCACTTCCAGGTTTACCATGGTGGTTTAGCTTCAATTGACTCATGATCTCAACGATATAAAACTACTAAAATCTCCACAAAACCCCTTTCTAAAATATCATTATCTTGAACTTGATTAATTTAACACTAAGACATTGTTTAATTGAAGTTGTTCATGCAAATTCAATATTACTTCTTGTGTTTTTACTATGATATCTCACCCGGTGAGTGCGATTGTCTACTCATATTTATTCTTATTTGAAATGTCTCAGATGCATTGAAAAGAGATTTCACATTATTTCGTCTTATGAGATCATGACTCAATGACTTGAGTAATCTTATACAGTTGCTAATATGTGTCAACTGATAGTTCGACACCAAATCTACCAGCACCTAAATCAGCAATCTGATAAATTTGAAAAACTATTCATGTACTCTATATATCCTTTATTTTTCAGATCTGAAGAACTTATGTGAGACTAAACGACACCATTAAAGATAAATGTCCTATAGTATATGACCAGGACAAGAACCGGTGCTTTCTACGTTGTATAGACTCCGAATTCCTTGGTACGGCCGAGAGTGAGGAGAGTACGCTCTCCCTTTCCAAATGCTCTCACATAGCCACGTGTATATAGCCTCTGTCAGGGAGGTTCTACTCACTGCCTTCTCGTGGCAACCGGTGTTATTTACGAAATTGAGAGGGCGAAAAGCAAATGTCCGACACTTTAACTGGGTTGGTGGACACAGAAAGTTCACATAAGGAAGTTGGAAAATCCTGATCCCAAACCAATGGTGTACATGGGCTCCATTATCTTGAGGGAACAAATGGCGTATGAATCAATCGTTAGTCACCGGCTACCATGGGACTGCATCTCCTTACGATGCTCCACTGCCTTGTGAATCAGACCATTAGGTCAAAGGCTCAGAGTATGACCCCCTGAGGAATCCACCTGCTTCGGTTTGGGCACCTGGGCAGTATGACAGACCTCACACAAATCAAATGAGATTTGTATGGCGCATATATATCTGGTGCCCTTTGTCCCGATATTTATGTTTAAATAAATAAAAAAAATTGATGTAACATCCATATACACAAAAATTTTGTTTTAATGATCGGCTTTGATTCTACTTTCAAGTTAACGAAGAAAAATCTGTATGGACTTGTTGATATTATTAAGTTTTTCAATTGAGATAATGAATCGATTGATGTTAGGCCATCACTGTAAACCTGGAAGCATTGGAATGACCGTTTTGTTCTAGAATGGAACTCTCCAGTAATATGCACCTACGATCCCACACGCGGGATTCAAACTCAGAACCTTGAGTCTTGAGCGTGAACACTAGCCGGCACTCAACGATGACTATTTCTAACTTTCATCGATCCATGAATCTTCCACCAATCGATTTATAATCTTAACCGAAATGAAATCTCTCCACTTAAATTGATGACTAAGGTACATATATATTTCATATAGTTCACATAAAAGGCACATTATAAATCTTATTTCTTCCTTTAAATACTTATCTTATTATAGTTAAAGTTACAAGATGATGAATTTTGGAATCCTCGTCTACTAATTGATAATGCTGAAGGTGAACCAATTGAAATTATTAGTCATGAAGTAGAATTTATAGAACCAGATTTTGAAGCATATCTTGTGGAAAAACGACGAATTAAAGGTATTTTTCATGAAACATTGGAATTAAGACATTTTCCATTTGATTGTCAGGTAAGAGTTCTTTTTAATTTTCATTCTTCTTTAATATTTTCTAATGTTAATGTTATAGTGCAGGCTTGTTTACTTACTTATTCACTTACTTATATACGCCTGTTATCCCTCCTGGAGGAGCATAAGCCGCCCCTCAGGATTCTGCATCGAAAGATGTGTCCTAGACAACCTTTTACAGTCGGTTTCAGTAGTTATTCATTCTTTTGGTGTCTGCTTCCTATTCCCGTCAAAATGTGTTCCTTAATCTTCATCTTTTCTGTTTCCCTTCATGATTCCAAGTTAGAGCTTGCTTCACGATGCAGATTGGTGATTACCTCAATAAATGTCCTATCCACTTCCAACATCTTTTTCTAATTTTCTCTTCAGAAAGAAGATTGTTTGTTCTCTCTCAAAGTAGATTGTACAGGCAATTGTTTATAAATACCTCTTGATAATGGTTGTAGTACTTCTGAAAGTTTCATCTCTGTGTTGACGTTCGTATTGAACATTATGAATTTGGTGTTCGTTTGGAGTTGTTTTGAGTTTGATGTGTTCTTCAAGTGTAGGAATGCTGCCCTTGCTTTGCCAATCCTTGCATTCACATCCCTATCACATCTTCCTTGTTCATCGATGATGGTGTCCAGTCATGTGAAAGATTCCACCTATTCCAGAGTTTCTCTATCAAGTTTGGTTGTGTTGATGTCCTCCATGTTGCACTTCAGGATCTTGATCTTTCCTTTGTATATGTTCAGGTCTACTACTTTAGAGGCTGTTGCTACAATGACTGTTTTCACGTGCATTGGTTGGTGTGTGGGATAGAAAAGCTAAGTCACCTGTAATATTCAAATAGTCTGGTTGTATACAAGCTGTCCATTAATTACATGCTTTTTGTCAGGTGTCGAGGTTTTCAAAATGTTGTCGACCACCAGAAAGAAGAGAAAACATGTGAGTAAGCAGACTTCTCTGACAACAGTGTTCACTTTGAATGCATCTGTCAACCATCCTCCGTGCACTAGTTTGCAGTGTGATCGATCATATGCTCACTAGTGACTGGCTCCATGAGGTACTTTCTGGAGTTCTAGTGAGATGCAGTAATCAGTGCAGTTCAACCAGGTCTGTAGGGAGATATCAACTCACTGAAGACATTGGTGAATGGTTGCTCAATTACGTGGATTCGTTGAAGTTAGACAGTGGTCTAGAGGTTATGCCATCGTGCGCCATACTGATAAGTTCTGGGTTCGAACTGAAGTTAATTCTCAAGAGGTTTTAATAGCAATACCAACGATAATAACAATAATAATCTCATACGAACGGGAAATGGAATTACGGAAACATAATTATAGAGAACGGATTGTAATGAGGTTACACATAAAAAGAAACGGAAAAGCGAACAAATCTTTTGATCACATAGTTTTATTTCCTCTTAGGTTATATAGAATACAATAATGGATTCATTTAATGCATTCAAAGATACTAGGTAGGGTTATGATTAAGGAAGGAAATAGAGGGATATATAAAGTGGATCGGTTTTAAGCTACTGAATGAAACTTCTTGACTGTCCTTAAAAGACATATGATAACTTAAATTCAACACAGAGTTTGACATCAACAACCTCAACACACTATTCAATGAAGAGTAATCAGCCTAGTTTATTTGACTAAACAAATTTACTATATAGCTTTAGCTATTCGACCACTTGTAAACATAATTCAAATAAGTGTATCATATGAATAAGATTAAAATTATGAAATATTGTTGTCCTATTGTGGTTTGGATGCGGAGAGGTGACGTCGAGAGGAGTGTTCTGGCGGGGTGGTGTTGACTGTAGCAGGTGCTGTCGACAGAAAAAAAGAGGTGGGACGTGCGGCTACTGGGCGGACATCGGATGTAGACGGATCAGCAGACAGGTGGAGCACGGGTGATGAACGTCCCAGGTGCCAGCTGAATGTCGGTCACCCGAGAGGCTGACGGAGCTATCAAATGGAGAACGCTATTGTAATTGTAAATTCATAATCTAATGTGTAACAATGATGTGGACTGTTGGAACATAGTAGGACAAGTTATGCTTTAGAATAAACATTCCCATATTGTAAATTAAAACACTATACAAGTTTCCGATTAGACTTTTTGCAAGGTTTACTCTAATATACTTACTTACTTACTTACTCCTGTTACCCCAAACGGAGCGTAGGCCATCGACCAGCATTCTGCTTTTTACTAGCCACTATCCATCTTTGTTTATAAAGCTTGTGACCAGGCAATATCGAGGCAGTCCACACACGATGCACATATCCCAACAAGAGACTGATGAATTGCAGTCCAAAATAACAATGGGAAGATACAAGTAAAGAACAACAAGTGAATTTCTTTGACGTTTTCTTCTATGAACATAAATGAAAATACTTCTGTCAGCAGGAAAGGTTCTTTTTCAAGCCAGCGTACAGATTTCTATAGCTTTGTACCCATTCATTCAAAAAAAACCTAGTTAGATGTCTTACAAGTAGAGCTACATGGATATGTTTAGACGATACTATAAACAATGAACTAGAGTTCATTCATACTGTGTTGATTGAAATGCGTTATATATAAGGTATTCTAAATCTAGTGAACAGGGAATTTAGAGGCATTGACCATTAGTAAGAAACCTCTTTTTATGAATTTACCATTTATTGAAGATATTGCTGGTGATGTACTACAATATATATTGACTAATGCAATGAAGAGGACGTTTAGCACAGCTAACCTTAATCTATCGTTTACTAGAACAGTCAACCTAAAGAATCAGTTACTTGGTTTTGTCAATATGTATGTATATCTGAGAGTTCAGCTGCTTCTCTAGAGAAATCTATACTGAGCGTATAAACAGACAATTGAACTAATGAGTTATTGAACACTTCACTTTGAGTGTATGACCGAAACAATAATCAGATCCGTTCTATCATACTTGATCGATAGTGGTCGTGTAATAGATAAAAACAAATGATGCAAGTTAATTTATCACATACCTACTGCTTTTCATTATAGGGTGCTACCTCATCACTCTGACATAGCAGAAGCTATGGGGGTTCGAGCTAACAATCCAAGTCTTTGTGTTTACGAGAAATTTGTAACACCTTTACCCCTTCGCTGGCTAACTTAACCTTTAAAGCAATTTTGTTGTTGTTGTTGTTGTTGTTGTTTATTCTCCGCAGTCTTCGTTAGTTTGTTTTTCTTCACTCCTTTTCTTCTTATATACACCTCCCTGTCTAAAAAATATTTTTGATTATTACGCAATTCTAATCATTTTTAGGGAATATTATTTCATTGCCTATTTTTTCAGTTCGCTGATCTACTATCTATTATGTAATATTAATTCAAGCATAATAAACAGAGATGGATGGTGGCTAGTGGTGGGATCAAGGATGTGCGTTTCGCCCTATTTTTGGATTCGTCAGATGGATAAGCCTGGATCCTAAAACGACTGAATTAGTTTAATTTTTACTAATGGCATCTGCTACCCCATGTCAAGGAGCACAGGCTACGCAGCCGAACTCTCCATCCAACCCCGTCCTAGGTGATTCTTTATAGTTGCCATTCATCCTTTCAATGTCTGCTTCCAATTCCCAACGCAGTGTGTTATTTAGCCCTCTTCTTTTTCGTTTTCCTTCACGATTTCGAGTTAAGGCTTGCCCGATATACAGTTTGGAGATTTCCTTGATGTACGTCCTATCAACTTTCAATGTCTTTTAATCTCCTCCTCAGCTGAAAGTTGGGTTGTTCTCTCCCACAGTAGTCAGTTGCTGATGGTATCAGGACAACAGATATCGAGTATCTTGAATAGGCAATTGTTAATAAATACTTGTAATTCTTTGATGATGGTTATGTTAGTTCATTAATTTTCGGTTCAATACAATAGAACTATGTTGACGTACATTGATTATACTCAATATATAGAGAATTATTATACTGAATAAATCTGAATACTTTCAATATCTAAATAATTTGATATTATTTATATTGTAATAAATTCTTTACATCTATAGTTGAGATCATGAATCAATTGAAGTTAGACCACCATGGAAAACCTGGAAACACTGGACTGTCGTTTCGTCCTATTATGGGACTCCTCAGTGGCAGTGCACATTCATGATCATGTTCATCATTGATGCTGCTCAGATATGTGAAGTTTTTCACATCCTCCAAAACTTATCCGTCAAGTGTGATTTGATTGGTGCATGTTATATTGTATCGGAGAGTCTTGCTTTTCCCTTTGTTTATATTTACACATACTGCTGCTGAGGCTACTTGTACACTGGTCGTCTTCTCCTGTTGTTACATGTGTGATAGAAGACCCAGATCATCGTTATTGTTTGTATTCTGTGATATGAGTAATGGCATATAGTGATTCTTCACTGCTAACCTATGTTTGTAACGATGCCGTTGACCTTATTCCATGTGGTGTTCCATACAGTTAATACAACTAGTCTTATAGATAATGTTCCATTTATCTTCCTTCACTGTTACTTCTCTCAGTATTTTCTTTATCAAATCATTCAACCCAGAGAACCTAACGTTACCGAAACTTCGTAATTCATATTTGTTCCATCATTTCAAAAGTTTACACTCTAGAAATTTAAAGCGCTGGATGTCTGCCCTTTCAGTGGTCTAGAGGTTAAGCGTTCACTCGCGATGGCAAAAGTCCTGGTTTTCAAGTTCCATGTGCGAGATCGTTGATGCTCACTACCTATAGCAGGACGAAACAACGGTCCAGTGCTTCCAGGTTTTCCATGATAGTCTAGCTTAAATCGACTAATAAATTCTACCATTAGATTACTACAATTTCCACAAACCTTCATTCTGAAAATAGTTACACTCCTTTAAAAAATTCTTCATTCTGTGCCTATTTTTTTTCTATACTAAAAAAAATAAGGATCTATCAGTTACAATCACATGTGATCGTACAACAGATGAAGTGGAACTTGTGGCTTCACCAACAGAAGTTAGTCAAGTTGATGTACGATGTGCAGCTGATAGTCAAGAATGGAAAATTTTTCATCATGTTGATGTAAGTTGATATTCTATATATAGTATCATTTATTCAATATATGAATATTGAAATAATAATAAAGATCATTTACGACCCATGTAAATCCTTTCAACCGTAGAAATTCATATAAACTAGACGGTAATGATATGGCTTAAAACGACAGTTACGGATTTTTATTTAAACCGATCAGAATGGGGAACTAAGGAGATTATAGTTATTTTATTAGTTGAATCAATGAGTCGATTTAAACTAGATCATCATCAAAAATCTGAAACCATTAGACGGTCGTTTCGTTGTAGTATAGGACTGTATAGTTCAGCAAAACACAAAATCACTTTTCGAAGAGAAATCACATTTTTAACCAAAGATTGATGTTGGCTAGTAGTGGAATGTAGAACAGACATTTCGTCCTATCTGAGACACATCCACCGGATGTTCCTACATCTCAAAGTTGATGTTAACTGTGGGACTCGAACCAAGTACCGTTCAATTCAAACGCCATAGCATTCTCAACGTAGATGCCGAGTCCTGATAGCTTTTGCAACGGGGTGAATTTTATATTAACTTGATACTGTTTGCTTTTATCTTCTCATTGTTATTTGGGACTGCAATTGATCAGTCACTTATTAGTATATATGCATACTGTGCATATAGCTTTGATATTACCTCATAAAGCTTGTGACTTAAAGCAACATCGAGGCAATTTGTACAGGATGTATATATGCCAACCAAGACTAATCGAAATTCCATCAAAAATATCAGTAACCGGATATTCTAGAACTGTTTCCATGTGAGTTTCTTAATGTTGAACAGTACAATGATTTGTAAACACTTTATACTTTTACGTGAGTACATACAATACAAACAGTCATTATTATTCTTACTTACTTACTTACGCTTGTTACCCCAAATGGAGCATAGGCAGCCAACCAGCATTCTACAACCCACTATCTCATGGGCTTAGCTTTCCAGTTTTATTCAGTTTTTGTTCATTCTTCTCATGTCTTTCTCTATTTCTCGGCGTAATGTGTTCATAGGTCTTCTTTTCCTCCTTTGACCTTAAGAATTCCATGTGATTACTTGCCATGTGACACAGTTGGCTGCTTTCCTTAATATGTGTCCTATCCACTTCCAGCGCTACTTCCTGATTCCTTCCTCCACTGCAATCCGGTTTGCTCTATCCCACAGTAGGTTGTTGCTGATAGTGTCTGGCCAACGGATTCCAAGTATTTTTAGTAGACAACAGTTGTGGTATGGTTTGGTCTACTTATATCCACATAAGTAGTAGTATATGGTGATGGTCAGACATAGAATGTATTTTGGCAGAAGAACGATAAGGAAAGAACAGGAACAAAGCGCAATTGGTATGAAAATGCATATACAATGAAATTAGATAATATGAATTTCTATTTACAGAAGGAACAGTCAAGATTGAGACAATTGATTATTTACTTACTTTACTAACGCCTGTTACTCTCAATGGAGCATAGGCCGCCAACCAGCTTTCTCCAACTCACACTCTGATAGACCTTCTTTTCTAGTTCTATCCAGTTTTTGTTCATTCTTCTCATGTCTGTCTCTACTTCTCGAAGTAATGTGTTCTTTGGTCTTCAGGATTCCATGTGAGGGCAAGACAATTGATCGTTATTTTGCAAATTAACTGTTTATTACTATCAGATCTTAGTAACATAGTTTGTAATTTGTGTTAAATCTGCACAGCGACATGAACATGAGAGAAAAGGCGCAAAATATCCAAGAAGTACTTTACCCCAAAGGTTCTTAATGTACAGAAAATACAGAATTTTTATAGTATTTAAGATGTCCTTGGGTTTTTCTGAAAATTCTAGAATGCTACTAAACATCCTGGATTCTACTAGTAGACACCATTCATCTTTGCTTAGAAAGCTTGTGAATTAAGGTAATATCGAGCCAGCTCTCACAGGATGCACATATACCAATAGGCGACTGATCAATTGCAGTCCTAAATAACGATGAGAAGATACAAGTAACTAATAACAAGTGAATTGAATCTTCACCCCATTGCACAAGCAATTGGCTATCAGGACTTGGCATCTAGGTGGACAAAGCGATGGCGTTTGAAATGAACAGTACTGGGTTCGAGTCCTACAATGAACCTCAACTCTGAGATGCAGATACATTCATCTGACGAGTCCTGAACTAGGACGAAATGTACGTTCTAGATTCCCACTACGAGACATTATATTGTTTTTAATTGTCTTTTTTTTCTTCCTTTTCCTTTTTTCTAGATTAAATCCATTGAAATTCAAACAGGTTATAGTCCTAGTACAAGTAAACGTCATCATCCTGGTTTAGTATTTACAAGTCGTTCAGCTAGACGTTCTGGTTATTTTCTTGTGAATATGATATTAATTAGTTGTGTATTATGTTTATTATCATTTTCGGCATTCTCTGTACCAGCTAATGAAAATCGTTTACAATTATCATTATTATTATTATTAACTACGGTTACATTTAAATTTGCTGCATCACAAAATCTTCCTAAAATTTCATATTTAACATATTTGGTAAGTGATTTATTATACTGTTTAATCATTAGTTAGGGGGCCACATCCCAAGCCTTTAACCCTAAAGGTATAATCCATAAAGTAGTAGAGTAATGTTAGGAGATACCATCCTAATGTTGTCGGTGACGAACAAGTGGTTCATACATCATTTGTTCTTTCAGGATAATGGAGCACATGTGTACCATCCGTTTGGAATCAGTGTTTTCCAACTCCCCTAGGTAAACCCTTCGTGTTTACTAGTCACTGTATAGTTAGTGTCAAATGACATAAAGTTGATGGCCGTTTTGTTCTATTGTGGGACTCCTCAGCAGTGTGCATCCATGAACTCGTCTCGCTAGATTCTAAACAGAGACGTATCAGTTTCGAGCGGGCGATCGTGGATGCGCACTGCCACTGAGGAGTCCCACAATAGGACGAAATAAGAATCGTTTACAATTATCATTATTATTATTATTAACTACGGTTACATTTAAGTTTGCTGCATCACAAAATCTTCCAAAAATTTCATATTTAACATATTTGGTAAGTGATTTATTATACTGTCGAAACCTATACCCTAAAGATTTAATCCATAAGATAGTGAAGTAATGTTAGGAGATGTAATCCTATTGTAATAGGTGATCAACAATTGGTTCATACGCCATTTGTTCCTTAAAGATACTGGAGTCCATGTGCACCATCGGTTTGGAATCAATGTTTTCCAACTCCCCTAGGTGAACCCTTCGTGTTTGCTAGTCACTGTATAGTTAGTGTCAAATGACATAAAGTTGATGGCCATTTCGTCCCATTGTAGAACTCCTAATCAGTGCACAACTATGATCCAGCCTCGCGAGATTCGACCCAGGACGTATCAGTTTCGCGTGCGATCGTGGATGCGCACTTCTGAGGTTTTCTATAGTGATCTAGTTTCAATTGACTAATGATCTCAACTATTAAAAAAATTACAATAATGTCCACAAAACCTCTTCAAATATTGGTTTAATGATTAAGTGTTAACAGACAGATGAAGGATTCGATCCTAAGAAATACCATATGTATACTCATTATCAAGGAGTCGCGCATTAAGACGTAACAACTGTCTATTATCTCTTAGTTTCTTATGACTTTTCAAATAATGTATCTTCATGATATAAAACCGCAATTTATGAATAAACCAAGTCGGATGGCCTACTTGAATATTTGGGTTGTCAGTTTCTGTCATTTAGATATTTCAACAAGTTATCTGTTTCCTTATATGTTTTCGATGCATAATCATGCCTATAAATCGCATAATTTTGATTGAGTTTTGTTCTCTGAACTGGATGGTTTAGTCGTGGATCTTTCATTTTCTAGCCGAAATTTGTGTTGATGATATCGCTCAGAAGGACGATGAAAGCTTGACGACCATATTATCCAGATCAAAGAACAAAACTTCATCAAAATCATTCACCTGAGCTACAAATCTTCACCATTAATCGTTTGTGAAACGTTTAAGATCTTTCGTTGGTCAAGCTATAAAAATTTATAATCAGAGACGTCGTGGTTGCTGGCAATGTGCATCGAAAAGAATATACATTAATCAGATGTCAATTTCGGAACTGCTAACATTTAACTGATAATCATTCCATATTTCAACTATGAAAATAATAAATTCTCCACAAAACCCCTTCTAATCTATAATCATATGCTCAATAGTGACTGACTTCAAGAGAAACTTCCTTGAGTTTTAGTGGGAAGCACTGACCAGTGGAGTTCTACCAAGTTTGTTGTAGAGATATCAACTCACTGAAGAAAATTGGTGAACGGTTGCTCAAAATCGTGGATTGGTTGAAGTTACACATTAACACCGTTGGATGCCGGCCGGCTCATTGGTCTATCGGTTAAGTGCTCTGGCCACCATGGAAAACCTGGAAACACTGGATAGCCGTTTCATCCTATTGTGAGACTCCTAAGCAGTGTGCATCCACCACTTCACCTCACGAGATTCTAACTGAGGACCTACCAGTCTCACGTCAGAGCCCTTAACCGATAGACCAGTGAGCCAGCATCCAACGGTGTTGATGTCTAACTTCAACTGATCCACAAAGTTGAGCAACCATTCACCAGTAGTCTTCAGTGAGTTCCTATCTCACGACAGACGTGGTTTGAACTCCACTGGTCGCTGCTTCTCACTAGAGCTCCTAGATATACTTCTTGAGGTCACTAGTGAGCTAATGTCAGTTCATGATGAAAACCCTAAATCTAATTCTTAATCTTAATCATCCATTGTAAATTATAATCCTTATTCTTCAAACTAAGCAGAGACGTATAATGGCTAACAGCGAAATCCAAGACGCGCTTTTCGTCCTATTTGGGACTCTTCAGCTGGGTGTACCTGCAGCCCGGAGTTGATGTTCACTCTGGGACTCGAACCCATCGCTTCAAACTCCATCGCGTTATCCACTCGGCCACTGAGTCCTGGACGAAACGTGCGTCCTGGATTCCACTGCTAGCCACTATCCATCTCTGCTTATTCTTCAAACTGTTTTTATAACCTTAATTTAATCCTAGTCAGTAGTAGATGGACATTTTTAAGGTCACATTAGCGTCACTTCAAAGTCATCCATAAATTATAGTCTCATTGTCTTAAATCTTTTTAAATATTCTTTCTGTCTTGAACCTTAACTCCTTCGCCGAAACAAAAAACAGGAAAAATACGCACACACACACACACATACACACAGTAAACTGTTCATTATTGAACGGTATCCATTCATCCATTCAAACAGTCACCTATAAAAGTACATAGAGTGTCAATATAATCTTTATAATAAGATATATATAACCAAGAATGACTGCACTGGTTATATGTATATATACAATACAAGGACTGTTCACTTCTACTATCTACTTCCCTTCTATCAATTATCTATGTCTAAATACATTTATACAACTACAATACAAATGTAATAGGTTAGTATCTATCTTTTCCCTATAAAGAGATATACCAGACGATATTAATGTATACATATTTTAAAGATTCCTAGATTCACTATGAATTCTATTTATCGATACTGGGAAATTTATCATACATTCATTTGGTGACTAGTAATGAAGTACAGGATGTGAGTTTTGTCCTATTTTTGATTGATCAGCTGGATGGACCTACATCCCACAGTTGGTGTTCACTCCAGGACTCGAACTTAGTACCGTTCGTTTCAATTGCCCTTGCGTTATCTACTTAGATGCCAAGTTCTGATAACCACTTGCTTTTGTAATGGGGTGAAGTTTTAAATTCACTTGATATTGTTTACTTGTACCTTCCCATTGATGCTTACGACTACAATTGATCAGTCTCTTATTGGTATATGTACATACTGCGAAGATTGCATCGATAATGCCTTAATTCACAAGCTTTACAAGAAAAAATGGATGGTGTCTAGTAATGAAATCTAGGATGCTCGTTTCATTCTATTTGGACTCGTCAGTTGGATGTACCTGCATCTCAGAGTTGATGTTAATTCTGGGACTCGAACCCTGTACCGTTCGTTTCAAATGCCATCACGTTATCCAACTAGATGTCAAGTCCTGATAGCCACTTGCTTGTGTAATGGGGTGAAGTTTTAAATTCACTTGATATTGTTTGTTTGAATTTCCTCATCGATGTGTTAGGACTGCAGCTAGTCAGTCTCTAACTGGCATATGTTCATACTGTTCGTATTGCCTCGATAATGCCTTAATTCACAAGCATTATAAAAAAAGATTGATAGTGGAATCCAGGACTTTTTAAAAAAACACTTCTTTAACTTAGTAACAAATATCAATTGTGTAGTGAATTACCTGTGTTAGTGAGTACATCCATTCTCAATAGGGAACATTGACATTTAAATACAGGAATATCTAACTGACAACTAGTCCTGAATAGAAGTAAAGCATTTTGCTATTATTCTAATAGTTGAGATCATCAGTCAATTGGAGTTAGACCACCATGGAAAACCTAGAAACACTGAATGGCCGTTTCGTCCTATTGTAGGGTTCCTCACCAGTGAGCATTCACGATCCCACCTGGCGAACTTCGATCCCACGACCTATCAGTCTTGCGCGATATGGCGATTGCGCACTACTGAGGTATCCCATACTAGGAGGAAACAGACGTCCAATGCTTCCAGGTTTTCCATGGCGGTCTAGCTTCAACTGATTTATGATCTCAACTATTGAAATTACTATAATATTCACAAAAACCTCTCTGATACATCCAATTTTAGTTATTAATTAGTAAAACGTCACACACATACGAAATTAGATCAAAAGATTGAACAACTACTACATTGAGATTACCTTTTCCTCCCGTTATATCATGCTGTGTGACACCTTCAGCCTATACAATATATATATGGCAAGTTCTACCGTACTTATAAATGAATGGTTGATTAATTGACTGATTAACTGACTAACTTTTAATCACTATCGAAACATAAAACTATGCTATTTGTTACCTAAGGAACAAAGAAGAACAAAACAGGATAACATCTAATGTTTATTCAAGTGTTTCAAGTGTATACTTATAATGATATACAGTCCGACATTCTACATTCTCAAGCAAAAAACTAGACTATCACATTGATAATCATGATAATGGGTATTTGTACGCCTACATATGTATATGTGAAGATAAACAAAACAAATAGAGATAAACTAGGAGAGAGATAAAAAAGATTAGTCTTTCGATTATAGAGTATTTACTTTAATTGTATATTTTTAGAGTTGAATACATGAATCAATTGAAGCTAGACCACCATGGAAAATCTGGAAACACTGGACGGCCGTTTCGTTTTATTGTTGTATTCATCAGCAGTGCGCAGCTATGATTCCGCCCGACGAGATTTTAACCCATGACCTATCAGTCTGGCGCTCGATTGTTTAACATCTACATCACTGAGCCGATAGACATTCAACGGTGTTAATGTCTAACTTCAACCAATCCACGAAATTGAACAAACGTCTACCATTGTCTTCAGTGTGTTACTATCTCGCAACAGACTTGATTGAACTCCACTGATCACTCCTTCTTACTAGAACTCCAGGAAATACCTTTTAAAGCCAATCACGATCCCGCCCCGCGAGATTTGTTGTGAGATAGCACCTTATTGAAGACAATCGTGGATGGTTTCTCAATTTCGTGAATTGGTACAAGTCAGGCATTAACATCGTTGGATGACAGCTACCTCAGTGGTTTGGAGGTTAAGTGTTCGCCTGCTGGATCGATATGTCCTTGGTTAAAAACCTCGCGAGATGAGTTCGTGGATGCGCACCGCTAAGGAGTCCCACGGCCGTTCAGTGCTTTCAGATTTTTCATGGTGGTCTAGCTTTAATTGACACATGTATCCAACTATAAAGGATATTTTACCCTACTTTAAAACATTATAGATACTTCATTGTATAATCTAAAAAATTAAGATCCTGAGGTGCAAAAATACCTGTTTGACTGATTGAAATCATGAATCTACTGGTGTTAGACCATCATCGAAAACCTGGAAGCACTGGAAGGTCGTTTCGTCCTATCTTTGAACTCTTTAGCAGTGCAAATCCACGATCTTGCTCGCGAGATTCGAATCCAGGGTTTTCGGTCCCCCATGCGAACGCTAAACATCTAAATCACTGAACTGGCCGGCATCCAACAGTGTTAATGTTGAGAAGTCCCATACTAAGACGAAATAGCCGTCCAGTGCTTCCAGGTTTCGAATGATATTCCAACATCAATCGATTTATCATCTTAATCAAAAACGTAACCATCTCCACAACCCCATACTGAAACATTTTTCTCAAATCTAAATGAATAACACAATATACTACTTAATTCAATGAATTAGTAATCAATAGTGATTGCTCAGTTATCAATAATTATACATATCCGGTATCGTTTAATTTAACTTTGACAACTTCCATATAAATGAATTGAGTTTGTAAACAATTTAATGAATAAATTAACTTGATATCGTTTGATTGAATCTTACCATTGATGTTTAGGACTACAACTGGTCAGCCTCCTATTGACCATATGTGCATACTGTGCCGTATTGCCTCGATATTGCTTAAATTCACAAGTATTCTAAGGAAAGATGGATAGTAGTTAGCAGTAGAATCCAGGACGCGCGTTTCTTCCGACTTGGGAGTCGTTAGCTGGATGTACTTGCACCTCAGAGTTGATGTTTACTCTGGGACTCAAACCCAGTACCTTTAGCTCCAAACGCCATCGCGTTATCCACATATGCTAAAACTAAAAGTTTCATTTTTAGAAAAAACAAGATGTAAAACAATTTTGTTTTGTATGTACAACATTCATAATGATCTAAAAACTATTATAGTTTCTCAAACTTTTACCATGTTTTAAAACAGATTAAAACAGAGCACTAGACGGCCGCTTCGTCATATGGTGAAACTCCTCAGCAGTGCGCATCCACGATCCCGCACTCATGAGACTCGAACCGAGGACCTACCAGTCTCGCGCCAGAGCACTTAACCGATAGACCACTGAGCCAGCTGGCATCTAACCTTAACCAATCCACGAAATTGTGCGACCAACTTTCATTGTACTGAGGTAGATACCTGTCTCTACCTGACATGGATTAGCTCCACTGGTCATGACTTCTCATTATTATAATAAAAGTAAACCACTTATTATATTACCCACAGATGCCATGGTACAGGTGAGAGTGTGGGAGAGTCAGCTCTCCTTCTCAAAATACTCCCACATGGTCATGTTTATACAGCCACCACCATGAAAGTCTTACTCACTGACTTCTCACGGAGGGGGTGTTATTTACAAAATTAAGAGGATGAAAAGCGAATGTTTGACACTTCAACCAAGTTGACGAACACAGAAGGTCGAAATAGAGAGTTAGAATGCCCTGATTTCAAACTTTGGTGAATATGGGATCCAGGATCTTGAGAGAAAAAAATGGTGTATGAACCTACTGTGGGTCACCGAATACTATGGGACTGCATCTCCTTACATTGCTCTGATGCCATGTGGATCACACCTACAAGTCAAAGGCTCAGGGTTTGTCCCTTTAAGAAAGCCACATGCTTCGGTTTGTACATTCGAGCAGTATTCCAGCCTTTACACCAATGTATATGTGTTTGAATAATAATAATAATAATAATAATAATAATAATAATAATAATAATAATCAATAAAATTACCCTTTTCTTAAGATAACCCATTACTAAACGGGAATAAAAACTTACATTTTTGAAATGATGTATAACATCTGTAGTTCAGCATATAGACTTCAAAGATTTTATACTCTTTGAGCTAAGTGGTTTAGTCTTAATCCATTCACCGCTTCTCTAGAAAACATCATCAGATCACAATTCTTCCTAGGTAGTGAAAGCGTTATGACTAAATTGTTCATTTCTGATAATCAAACAACTTCTTTTCAAAAAATATTAAATGTTTATTTTTCATAGTTGAAATCATGAGTCAATTGAAGCTGGACCACCATGGAAAACCTGGAAGCACTAGACGGCCGTTTCATTCTATTATGGGACTCCTCAGTGACAGTGCACATCCACGATCCCGCACTCACAAGATTCGAAACCAGGACCTACTAGTCTCGAGCTAGAGCACGTAAGCGATAGACCACTGAGCCGGTTGGCATCCAACGATGTTAATATCTAACTTCAACCAATCCACGAATTTGAGCAACCGTTCACCAATTGTCTTCAGTGAGTTGTTATCTCACAACAGATGTGGTAGAAATCCACTGGCCACTGCTTCCCACTAGAACTAATGTTTAATAAAATCTCATTTACAATATTTTGGTCGACAAGTCTTGATACGCCTTCTAGAATTGGTTGTACTAATTAGTACTAAGTTACGATTCGAACAATAATTTTACATCAATCACATCAATACTGGAGATCTCCCTTGCTCATGACCATCAGCTGACACGAATCCCGGCATAGAAGCCTCAAACTGATGCTCAATAACCGCCAAATGCCTAAAATAGTAAGCTCCAATGTTAAGTCATTTAAGCTAGTGATTATAACAAATGTTTGTCTAATGAATCATTGGTTTCCATTCATTGACCAGTCATTGTAAGCATTTAAATCCCACTGGCGATATCAAATACAAATGTGATTTGAAATACGATGAGGAAAATCAGCTCCTTTTAGGTTTCCATAAGCCTTGCTTAGAGAATCCACCAGCCTAGAATTCAAGTATACAGAGTTCTATCGGGTGTCGCGAAAGATCTAATATATATTTCAGATTTGCATGACAAATCAGTTCGCTCCATCGTTTTTATTAGGAAAATAATAGTAGATCTAACTATCCAATCTGTACACTTTCCTAAAACACTGTAAGGTCAGTATACTGAAATTTATTGGATTTTATTTCAACGAGTTATAGAGATATTCAGATGACTCCATAGAAATAAATTTCAACAGTGATTCCATCCTGAATTATTTGTGGGTTCATTATATTTATTGTAGCTTTTCTAGTCATATAATCTACTTATTCATATGATATCAAAAGAAATTGTCCTCTAAAGGTTCTATAATGTTTACATAAAAAGATAAACTACTTGTAAGTAGCTCAATATTTTGAGTAAAAGATTTCGTTTGAATTTCTTTTTAATTTCATAGGATAAAGTTGTCCTGGTGAATTTTTTCATGCTTGTCATTCTCACTGTATGGCATGCTATAGCTCGTGCTGTATCTGCATCAAAGCCAAAATTTTTAGAATATGAACATTATGTTATGTACAGTTTGCTCAGTTGTTATTGTATTGGTTCTGTATTATTTGGATTAACGGTTTATCTTGATGTAAGTGCAAAATTATGAGTATATTACTTGAATTATATCAGTATATTTATCAATTGACTTATCATTTTAGGCAATAAATGAATTGTCATTTGTTAAATAGATGTTAGATATTCATTAATCAAGATAGGATAATGTTATATCTAGAGCTTAGATTCTTGATATATACTGTGTACAACTTGAGCACTAGAACACTAGAACCCTCCAAATCGCAAAGAGAAGATAGAAGACAAGTGAAAACGAATGCTATTCCAGACAGTGTCAATTATGATACAAAACTCTAATGTATTTATCGTTTTTAGTAAAAGTGAAATTATCATTATAGACATCCAATGCGTATACAGTAGTTGTTAGCGTTTGTTCAATAGGGAAGCTACACGTTGAGATTCTGGAATGTTATTCCAAAAGATGATTGGATAGGATATCTTGAGCTCTTTCTGAGTTTCTTAAAGCTTCTTTAAGTTCATCCGTAAGTCGTTGCCACAAGTAACATGTTCAACTCATTACATAATCATCAATATACTCTCTCATACATAATTACTTTCCATGTACATTAAGTTAACAACTAATTCATGCTACATTTTAATTTCAATGGTATACGTTGATTAAACTGCTTTAAATACTATCATGTTAATTTTCTGGTTAGCGCTTTGTTAGCGAGTTGTTTTTCTACGGGATGGAGTCATTAACTCATGCCCAACCCTCCACCTTTATCCGGGCTTGAAACCGGCAGCAGCCGTCGAAGGGGATACAGGCAGAGTAATTATTTTCCTTTATTTATGTTGAAGATACCACGGGTTTTGTAGTTTGACATCACTTTATCAGTGGCACCTTCTATAATCGAATCGCGCCCACCCAGTGAAATCAAAAATCAGAAGTGGGCAGGATGGAAGATATATTTGATAAATTATAAATATATAGAAAAGTGACCGATCTAATCTGGCTAGTTATCGCAGGAGACGTTGCGCACGCCGTTCCAAACCGTGATTCAAACCGTGGGGATGCATGACCTATCGCCTTCAGGTAAATGAGTCCTTTAAAACTAATGTGGTCAGCATCTAATATCGAATACTTACAGCGCTATTGATTTCGGGGATTGATTCACAGCTACAATGCAATGTAACAGAGGAGAAAAATAATATTCTTTTTGTTTCCGTTATGAATTACTAAAGAGAATATTGTACTGTATACTACTTATATAGACATATATAAGTAGTATAAATCATCATTCGAAAGTGAAATGTCTAGAGAGAGAAGATTATGAAGATCGAAGAAAAGAGAACGAGAAAAAAAGAATGACTACTATGGAAACAGAAGAACAATGAAGTCTGAAACGATTGATTGATGGTTCTCAGATTTCACTAAGAGATTCTGGAATTTCGTATTCAAATACATTCGACTGTTCTTACATACGCTCTCGTTCACTACACCGAGACTGGACTGAAACAGTCAGTTCATACTCAATAGCCTATAACATCTTACTTTTGTTAACTGTTGTATCTCGAACTTAAATTTCTTAGTCTATCGCATGATACTTGAGCACTCAAACGCTAGAACCCTCCCAAGTCACAAATCAGAAGACAGAAGACAAGTAGAAGGAATGTTATTCCAAACACATTGTCAAAATATAGTACAGAAATCTCATGTATTTATAATTATTGGCTGAATGTATATCATCATTTCGGTCAACCAATAGGCACATAGGGGGGTCATTATTATACATCCAATAGGGAAGCTACACGTCGACATTCTAGAATATTCCCCTAGTAGTGATTGGATGGAATGTCTTCGGCTTTTTCTGGGCTTCTTGGAGGCTTCCTAGAATTTATCAACTAGGCATCCTTACATTAACCCCATGTCATCATTTATGAATATGTATAACAGTTACCTTTCTGTTTTCTTCTCATCTATTTAGGCTGGTTCAAGAAGACGTTTAATGAAACGTAAAGATATAGAATTTAATCAATATAAACAACAAATTGAAGCAGAAAAACAACAACATTCTATATTAAGTGTATCATTAGAAGAATGGTTAAATTCACCACATAATAGTATAACAGATAATTTATTAGATAAAAATGATCCATAATCAATCATTTTGATATTAGTTCAGATCATGGATCCATTGAAGGTGGATCATCATAGAAAACTTGGAAAACAGCCATTCAGTACTTCCAGATTTTCCATGGTGATCTAACTTTAATGGATTCATGATCTCAACTATATGAAATTACTTAAATCTCTACAAACCCCCCCCTCCCTCCGCCCTTCTGAAAATCAATAATTATTGATATTTTCTGATCTGGATCATAAATAATCAAGATAATCAAGATCAAGAAACATTATCATTATTATGAAGATTTCATTCACCATGTGATATCTATCTATCTATCTTTATTCTTAACAAGAGTCTCATCAATATTCAACTTCCATTTTTGCATTTTTTGTTACACCAAAGATACAAAGATAATACCCATTTTATGTACAAGATTTCTGGGGGGGGGAGGCAGTTATCTATCTTTTTTCCTAATGAAAATCTCTTCAATATTCAACTTTTTTTTTGTTGCTATGAGGATATAAAGATAATACTCATTTTATGTACAATATTTCAAAGGGGGAGGGGGAGGCACTTATCTATCTTTATTACCATTAAAACTCACTTCAATATTTACCTTTTTTTGTTGCTATGGTGATATAAAGATAATACTCATTTTATGTACAATATTTCAAAGGGGGAGGGGGAGGCACTTATCTATCTTTATTACCATTAAAACTCACTTCAATATTTACCTTTTTTTTGTTGCTATGGTGATATAAAGATAATAATCGTTTTATATACAAGATTAAAAGTAATGAAAATGATATATTCATTAAAGTATCCATTATACAATAAGTTCCATTCTTTCCAATTATTCAAGACGATCTTCTTGTAAATATACAATTTATTACTTTATGTTCAATGATTTTCTATCTAACAGTGTTGGTGTCATTATCGGTGTTGTTTTGAATTAGTTATATAATGTGATAAAAATAACAAACTAAGATATTCCAAATGTTCTCCACTTGTTTTCTTCGTTTTTTTTTTGGTTTCTCTCTCTCTCTCTCTTTCTCTCATATCCATTCAAGGGGATTTCCAAAAAGGATCTAGATTAAGTTTTCTTTTTTTTTGTTTTTTTTGTTTTTGTTTTGTTTTAGTTTATGGTTAGTAAAGAAAGAATACAGAAGTATAATGGTTGTTATCCATTGTGAAGGAGTATAAGCCACCTACCGGTGTTGTTCATTCAACTATATCCCTAGGCAATATTGTTCATTGGCTATTCATCGTTTTGATATTTGCTTTCATTTCATGATGTAGTGTATTCTTTGGCTTTCCTCTTTTTTTGTTTTCCATTTTGGGGGTTGCCTCGTGATGCGGTTTGATGATTTCCGTAACATATGTCCTATACACTTCCAATGTCTTTTTTTAATTACTTCTTCAGATGGAAGTTGGTTTGTCATCTCTAACAGTAGGCTGTTGCAGATAGAGAATTAATATAACGAAAGGATTAATAGTTTTTTTCTGTGGTATGGTACAGTAATAAGACTGAATTGGATCGATGAGTTTATAATACCATCAGTCTAGATAATCGCAAGGATTCACTATACATAGACGAGATCGATGTTATATAAGATACCCGATGGACGATCAAGAATGGAGTACAGGAGTAATGATAGGAAATCAATTAATTCCATACAATTACAACCAGTTTACACTGAGTGAGCCCCCAAATGCCCTGGTACAGCCGAGAGTGGGGAGGGTCCTCTCTCTCTCGAAATGCTCTCACATGACCACGCGTATACAGCCACTGCCAGTGAAGTCCTGCTCACTGCCTTTTCGTGACGAATGTGTTGTTTACGAAATTGAGAGTAAGAAAAGCGAATATCCGATGCTCTAACTGGGTTGGTGGATATGGGAAATACACCTAGAGGAGTTGGAAAACCACAATCAGATATACAATCTGTCCACTTTGATATTGAGACGTCATATAATATAATTCATTTGTCAGTTATAGTTTTATGTACTCGGTTGGAATCATGTTTAGTGATATTGCTAATTGAATCCTAAATCCTAAGTAAACAGAGCAAAGTTTGAAATTGCGATCAACTGGTTTATATATGAAAAACTGGAATTTTCATCATCCTCATTATACAACACTGCTGATAAAACCCATACTAGGACGAAACGGCCATCCAGTGCTTCTAGTGGTGATCTAGCTTAGATCGACTCATGAATATTGTAGATAAACAGATGTTTTGCTAAAATAGATGAAATACGTGTAATGACCTACTTTTCATGACGAGAGTGTTATTGGTTTAATGGAAACAATTAGTATTATAACCTATTGTACCAGTGATTGTTTTACTGAACTTGTTTGTTTAACTGAACCAAAGGCACTCTTCCTTCCGTTGTCCATTTCGCTTGTACGAACGCGCTTACGCTGCATTGTTTTGCCTGTACTCTTTGGTGCGTCTCGGTATTCATTTGATACCACGAGATCGCCAACAAATATATGTTATCTGGACCACTAACAGTTTTCTGGTTTTTGGCCTACCGAGGGATCGAAGTCGATATCTGGCACGTAATCTTATTGTAGTGGTAATCATGGTCGATAGCGACTCGACAGCTATCTATATATGTAAGATATTGTTCCTTTATATATAGAGGACTACAATTTCCGTTTACAAGGTAATTGATAAAAGTACTTCACAATGTAAGGGATTTAAAAGTGATCTTCGCTGCTTCTCTGTGTTTTTGGATTGATGAGAATAATCTTACATGAAGAAGGTTATGATTATAAAAGAAAGTTTCTACAACTCTATAAAGAAAATTTTCTTCATTTGTCAGATTTCATCTTTTCTGTATCCTTTTAATATAATCTCACCTTGGCTAATTGTATGTTGAACAGACCATGTACAGCTTATTTATTCATTTATTTAAACACATAAATATTGATACAAAGGGGCACCAGATATATATGCGCCACACAAGTCACTTGATTTGTGTGAGGACTGTAATACTGTCCAGATGCCCAAATTGAAGTAGGTGGTTATCTTAGGAGGCCACACCCGGAGCATTTGACCTAAAGATCTGATTCACAAGGCAGTGGAGCATCATGAAGAGATGCAGTCCCATGGTAGCCGATGACCAGCGATTGATTCATACGCCGTTCGTTTCATCAGGATTCTGGAGCCCATATGCACCATTAGTTTGGAATCAGGGTTTTCCAACTGACCTAAGTGAACTTTCTGTGTCCATGAATCCGGTTAAATCGCCAGAAATTCGCTTTCTATCCTCTCAATTTCGTAAACAACACCGATGCTACGAGAAGACAGTTAGTAGGACTTTCCTGTCAGAGGCTGTATAGGCGTGACCATGTAAAAGGATTTGGAGAGGGAGAGTGAACTCTCTCCACTCTCAGCCGTACGTCTAGAATCATACAATGTCAATTAAACTTTTATCATTCAAATCACAAGCAAAAAAACTGTTAAACAATAATGATACAAACTATCTACTTAAATGACATTTACAACTTTAATGTTTATTCTCTTCTTATTATCATTCTGTTACTTATTAATTTTGTTTATCTACTTGGTTGATTAACTAGTTAATTTGGATTAAATTTCTCATTGTTTCATTGGTAAGATTAATGAAATTTCGGGAGATAACGAAAACAGGCGTTATTCCCCCCTTTTACTGGGCCCTATTCTCATCAGAAAATTTTGAACTGACTAACTTATATAGAAGTAAAGTATGATGAGACTCATTTTTTTGTGATCGAATACGTTCAGGTTGCATCTCTTTTTGGATATTCAATCGTTGATATTCATTCACCAACTAAATTTAAACCAGAATTTTATCGAATGATTATACAGTTACTTATTTTTATTACAATATCACATTTTCTACTTATTACGATACATTTCATGGTAAATATGTTGGTAAAGGGGATTTGGTGGAAAATATAGAACTTCTATAGAGTTTCATGGGATGGTGTTATTTAGGCCACCAGTGAAAACCTAGAGGCACTTGGCCGTCGTTCGGTCTACGTATGAAACCACTCAATAGTGCATATTGGAGATTGTGAATACGGAGATCTAACACACGTTTGAGCAATACCGTGAATTGATTGAAGTTAGACAAACACACTACTGGATACCAACCTGATGGTTTAAAGGCTATGCATTTTGACGCAGAACTGGATGTTCTAGATTTGATGCTTGAATGCGAATTGTAGGATGGCATTGCTGAGGTGTTCCATGCTAGAATTAAACGCCCATTTTTGTGAATGATAATTTACAGTATATTAAATCAACGAAGAATTTTCATTTCTCATCAGTTGAAAGTGGGTTGATTACTTCCCATCTTCATACAGATCCCTTGATCAAAAGTTTTAGTATTAGTTTTTTGGCTAATGATCTATAGTTTGAAACAAACGATATTGAGTTAAAATCTCAACAACAACAAAATGTAGACGTCAATACGAGGACACACTCATACTCAAATGATTATACGTAAATAATCACGCAATACAGTGAACAGCTTGGATGTAACAAGATGATTTAGACTTTCCAAATGACATAGCTCTTCTTTCTCATACACACGAACAGCTGTATGTGAAGACAACCAGTGGAGAAGAAGACTCAGTAGGCCTCAAAACACACAACGGTAAAAGTAACATTCTCAAATACAACACGTAGAGCATCAACTCAATCACACTTGATGTAGGAACTTTGGAAGAGGTGAAATCTTTCACGTACCTGGTCAGCAGCATCATCGATGAATAAGGAGAATCTGGTACAAACGTAAAAGAATTAGAAGATCAAGGGCGCCATTCCTACAGTTGAAGAACATATCGAACTCAAAACAACTGTCAACCAATATCAAAGTTAGAATCTTCAAAAATAACGTCAAGCCAGCTGTACTGTACAGCGCTGAAACTTCAAGAACTACTAAGACCATCATCAAAGAAGTACAAGTATTTATCAACAATTGTCCACACAAGATACTCCATGCCCGTTGGTTAGATACCATCAGCAACAACCCACTGTGGCAGAGAACAAGCCAGCTTCTATCTGAGGAGGAAATTAGGCAAAGACGTTGGAGGTATATAGGACATGAATTGCTAAAACTATCGCAAGGCAAGCGCTAACTTGAAATCCTGAAGGGAAACGGGAAAACGGAAGTTGGAACACATTGCGTCAGGAATTGAAAGCAGATGTCAAAAGGATGACTAGCAACTGAAAAGGATTGCCCACGACAGAGTTGAATGAAGAATGCTGGCAAGCGGCCTATGCTCCTCCATGAGGGGTAACAGGCTTAAGTAAGTAATTAAGTTATGTCCTAGAAATATGAGACTCCTCAGTAGTAAGCATTTATGACCCTATCAAATATAATACTCATCAGAACTTTCAAGTCTTATAAAGAACGTCTTACTTTCAGATCACTGAATTTCCATTGAACATTCACTAGTTCCGTTCTACTTAAATGGCATTATCCACTACATAATTAAGTTTACCATGATAATTGATTTCATTTTACGATAACAATTCATTTATTTTAAAACCAAACTTATGTAATACATAAATGAAAGGAAATATATATAGTAATGACTAGTCCTATCTCAAGCCCACATAACTTATTCTAATTTGTGGACGGACTAACTTATTCATTCTTTTTGAGTCACATTTTGACCTTGTTCATTATTCACCCCTCCTTGTTTTGCCTTACTTCGCTTCAACTCAGCCTTTAACTCGATTCGACTTATGTATATTGAGTAACGCTTAATTAAAGAGACTTAACTAACATGCCTTCTCCGCTGTGCGTCATTTTGTTTTGGAGTATTAAATTACATTTAGTGGCCCTCGAATATCTAACTCCAATTGAATCGTGTGATTATCGTTATCGTCTTAATTCACATTAGTAAATAAATCACATAAGAGAATGACATTTGGGATACGTATATTTTGTAAAATCGTTGATCAGAACAGATGATTAGAGATAGAGACAGAGTGAAGGAAGAGAAAAGGATAAACTAAAGCGAAACAGATTGGAGAAGACAAGTCTCTTTAATTAAGCATTACTCAATTAACATAATTAAATCAAATAGAAGAAAGGTAAAGGTTAAGTGAGTCTCAGCGAAGTACGACAAAACACGGAGAGGTGAATGATGAACAAGCTCAAAATGTAATTCAAGAAGAATGAATACATTGATCCGCTCAGTAACTACAATAAGCTATGTAGGCTTGATATAGAGCTTAGCCAGTACAATATTAGTTCTAAAGTTTTATACATTGATGTTCATTGAAATTCTTAAAAAAAAAACTATTGATATGTAGGTATTTTGTATGCAAACAAATAAATCAATATCACTATTCAATAATGAGAATAACGTGTATTGCTATGGTAACCTCTTTGAGATGTTGGTAATGAATGTCTAATAGGAGAAGGTGATGTATTATCACGTTGGATTATTGTATTTCGTCTATCAGGATTCTCGGATAACATACTAAGATTTGCTTCTCCTTCTTCTTCTTCGCCGACTAATGGTGAATAAGATTTCATATTAGATGATACTGACGATGACGAATAGTTTGATTGTTTCATATATTTTGTCGTCGTTGGATGATTTACATATAATGGTGTATCTTGACTATGTTGATCACTTTCAACTGGTGAAAATGTCGGTGAGTTGGATTCATTATGATGTTGATGATTTAAATTAACGGGTTGTTTATCTATTCCTTTATAATGATAAGGATTATTAGATAACATTCCAATACTAGGTGAGAATAAACTCATACTTTCATGTCCTGTATCCATAGGTCGTAAATCAGAATCTAATGCAATCACCTATGGAATGAATATAACAAAATAAACAATGAGGAACTTCCTGGAAATGTATAGTTATATCAATAGAGATCCATTTCATAGTTGTACATATCGATAATACTCTACACATTCTAAGCCATGTATAACTGCATCTCTGTGCTAATGTGGTATGGCAACACGAACTGATGTACGTACGTACGCACGTACGAAGTTATTAATCAGTATATAGTGAAATATCATCGTCATAAATTCAATGGAGGAATGGTTTATGAGTTTAGAAAATTGACTTTCAACTGGCTACATCACAAATATCAAGTTCAAATCTATCTAGTTTGTATTTGGCCAATAGCCGGTTAGTATCATTAGTCGTCTTATACGTGCAGTCAGTCAATCAGTCAATCAGAAAGTAGAACTTCGTACTTACTTACGTACATCAGTTCGAGTTGCCATACCACATTATCACAGAGATGCATTTATCGATTCAAATCCCATAGTGGTAGAAGTAGTAAGAGTATAGGCAATAATCCGAAAGATTAGGGTTTGAAGATGTTATTCAACGAGTGTAATCTAGTGAAATAAATTTGAAAAGAGAAAAAGACAGAGACATGAAGAACTCAGAAGATTAGAATTTGGTAGAACACAAAGAGTGGATGCAACTTCGCCATTGAAAACGATTTTGAGACATGTCAGTCAAAGTCTCTAACCATCGATCGCTATCATCTCGCGAATCCCAACCACGTAGTATACATCTACTAACATGGCTCAGTCCAATTGTCGGTGACTTTATGGATTTTTGCCATGTTTTGGTCTGACCGCCCCTAGCTTTCTTCCGACCTACGCCTACACCATAATACATTGCATGGCGAGGCAGTCGGTGGCTGGGCATACGTAACACGTGTCTTAGTCAACTCAACTGACGAAGTTTCACTATTTCATAAATTGATTTGCCATCCTTACCCAGTACCCGTTTCTTAACAACTGCATCACTTACTTGGTGGTCTCAGGATATACGAGCAATGCTTCCAAGACACTTATGATTGAAAACTAGTAGCCTACTATACTTACAATATGTGTTAAAGACAAATAAGTGAATCTGAACTTGGTATGTTGTATCCTAGTCAACAGATTACGAATAAACATTACATGTCTATTGGATTATTTATGATTGAACATGAATAGAAACACCATGTTGACAAAACTGACTTTAATTTAGAAAAAATAATTGAATTATGTTCTTTTAGTTCAATGGTTACGTACTACCCAAAAAAACACATTTTAAGTCCAGGGTTTCCTGTTGACCACCTCTAACCACCGTCTTATCTCAACATACTGCACGTAGTGTCCAGTCACCTAGACTGCATTGCAACTTGATCGATAGTATTCGATCTGCACTAAGAAGGACTTGACACACATGACATTGATCCCCATCCAATGACTAATCAATTGTGATTATTTCAAAATAATTTTAAAGAAGATGGAAAATCTGTAAATTGAAGAAAATCTCATAATTGCCTATATGGTTCTCTACAATCTAACGATAATAATAACACATATATATGCATATACACGAAATATATATTCATTACAAACATACTTGTTCAGGACGAGCTCCAGTTGATGGAACTTTAACTACAACACCACCTGCACCGCCAATACCACTTAACCCTCCACTATATAAACCACCACTGCCTATTCGACCGGAAAGAACACTTGGCATACCATAATTGGTTTCAACAGCTTCAAATTTTTCAACTTCTTCCTTGAAAAGAAAAATTAAATATGAAAGATTGTCGAGAAGAATTTATCATTAGAAAATAGGGGCAGATATGAAAAGGATGAATAACAACTGGAAAGAATTGGAAAGGATTGTCCAGGACAGAGTTGGATGGAGAATGCTGGTGAGCGGCTTATGCTCCTCCACGAGGGGAAACAGGCGTAAGGACCGTCTTATGTACAGACTGTAATTTCCTATTTATACTACGTTGTAATGTTTTGTATTTTATGTGTATAGTCAAATTAGTTTTGATATATAAATGATAGAAAGCATTCTGGAGGTTTCATAGTCTCTCGGTTAATTTACTTGTGAATCTTTGATTGTTCTTATGAACAACATCTAAAGAAAGTACTTTAACAAGAAATGACTGATTAACAAACCTATTTTATTGACCTAGAATTTGTTTAGTTGATATCTATAACAGTATGGTCGTTATTGGGGAACTGGTTCTGGGTTTTTTTTCTTGCAGAAGAACAATGAAAGATCTATAACTAAATCATTCAGCTTAGAGAACACCCTACCTCTAAAATCCTCATCCTGATCTACAGATATTCTCGATTATCTGAATACAAAATAACTTAGTTGACTCTTTTAATATTCTGATTGGTAATTAGGAACAGATGAATCATTATGTGGATAAATTCGACGTTAGCATACGGTTTAACTAGAGTTGTAGAATTAGCGTTATAGTGACAGAAGCAGACGGCTGGTCTTATGTCAAACCCACATAGGTTATTCTAGTTTCGGAACAGACCAATTTATCCATTCTCCTTAAGCTACAATTTGACTGTGTCACTTATTAATCCTGTTTTTTAGATGATCGTATGTGTGCTGATTACTTACCTTACTCATTATGTGTTTGTAACTTGTTTTTGTAACTCCGCCTGTAGCTCTTCTAGAGTTACTGCCGGTCCCAAGCCCGGGTAAAGGAGGAGGGTTGGGCATGGGGTTAGCGACCCCATCCCGTAGAAAAGCTAACTCGCTAAAAAAACGCTAACCAGAAAAAATAATTCGAACCATTTAAACTCTGCCCTGGGAGTTGAAGGAATAATGACGTCTCATGATGAAAGCCGAAATTCTTCGGAAGTCACGAGACCGATGCACCTTCTAACAACCAGAGCAACACTCTTTATAGGTACATGGAACGTCCGGACAATGTGGGAGACAGGAAAAACCAGCCAAATAGCAATGGAAATGAGAAGATACAACTTGGCAGTACTCGGAATCAGCGAAACCCATTGGACACAAACTGGACAACAAAGGCTAGGTACAGGAGAGATGCTGCTGTACTCCGGTCACGAAGGGGAAAATGCTCCACACACTCAGGGAGTTGCTCTAATGCTGTCCAAAGAAGCACAAAATGCACTTGTGGGATGGGAATCTCATGGACCCAGGATAATCAAAGCATCATTCAGAACAAAGAAGCAAGGGATCACAATGAACGTTATCCAATGTTATGCACCCACCAATGATAGCAACGACGATGATAAAGATCAGTTCTATGAAAGGCTGCAATAAATTATAGCAAAGTGCTTACGAAAGGACCTCACCATCCTTATGGGAGATCTAAATGCTAAAGTTGGAGTGGACAACACAGGATATGAAGATGTAATTGGACGACATGGACTAGGAGAGAGAAATGAAAATGGGGAGAGACTTGCAAACCTATGTGCTTTCAACAAATTGGTTATAGGCGGCACAATATTCCCACACAAACGCATACACAAAGCTACATGGATCTCGCCGGACCACACCACAGAGAACCAGATTGATCACATCTGTATCAACAAAAAATTCCGAAGATCAATGGAAGATGTGAGAACCCGGAGAGGAGCTGACATAGCTTCAGATCACCACCTGGTTGTGGCCAAGATGAGACTGAAGCTAAAGAAAGACTGGACAACTGGACAAACAGCACTACAAAGGTTTAATACAGCCTTCCTTCGAGATACTGACAAGCTCCATGAATTCAAGATAACTCTCAACAACAGGTTCCAAGCTCTACAGGATCTACTGAAAGAACAAGAAACTACTTTGGAGGACAACTGGAAAGGGATAAAAGAAGCACTAACTTCAACGTGTCAGCAGGTTCTTGGTCCTAAGAAGCATCATCACAAGGAATGGATCTCTATGGGAACCCTGGACAAAATTCAAGAAAGGAAGAACAAGAAACTAGCAATTAACGACAGACGAACACGAGCAGAGAAAGTCAAAGCACAAGCAGACTACACAGAAGCAAACAGGGAAGTGAAGAAAAGCATTAAAGCCGACAAGCAGAAATACATGGGAGAACTAGCAACGGCGGCGGAAAAAGCTGCAAGAGAAGGGAATATGAAACAACTATATGATACAACGAAGAAATTGGCAGGGAGATATAGCAAACCAGAGAGACCAGTCAAAGACAAAGAAGGAAAGACAATCACTGAGATTCAAGAACAGAGGAAAAGATGGGCAGAATACTTTGAGGAACTGCTGAATAGACCAGCCCCATCGAATCCACCGAACATCGAAGCAGCCCACACAGACCTTCCAATAGATGTCACTCCACCAACGATCGAAGAAGTCAAGATGGCCATCAGACAAATCAAAAGTGGGAAGGCGGCAGGACCTGACAATATACCAGCAGAAGCACTGAAGTCAGACATTGAAATAACTGCAAATATGCTGCGCCTTCTATTCAAGAAGATTTGGGAAGAGGAACAAGTGCCAATGGACTGGAAAGAAGGATATCTCATCAAGATACCAAAGAAAGGAGATCTGAGCCAATGTGAGAACTACAGAGGTATCAGTTTATTATCAGTACCAGGAAACGTTTTCAACAGAGTGCTGCTGAATCGGATGAAAGACGCAGTAGATGCTGAACTTAGGGATCATCAGGCTGGATTCCGTAAGGATCGGTCGTGCACAGACCAGATTGCGACACTACGGATCATCGTTGAACAATCAGTTGAGTGGAACTCATCACTATACGTCAACTTTATTGACTATGAGAAGGCGTTTGACAGCGTGGACAGGAGAACATTATGGAAACTTCTTCGACACTATGGAGTTCCTGAAAAGATTGTCAACATTATCCAAAACTCATACGATGGACTACAGTGCAAAGTGGTGCATGGAGGACAGCTGACAGATGCATTTCCAGTAAGGACCGGAGTCAGACAAGGCTGTCTACTCTCCCCATTCCTCTTCCTTCTAGTGATTGACTGGATTATGAAGAATTCGACATCTGAAGGGAAATACGGAATACAATGGACCTCTCAGAATCAATTAGATGATTTGGACTTCGCGGATGACCTAGCCCTCCTCTCTCATACACACGACCAAATGCAGATGAAGACAGCAAATGTAGCAGCAGCCTCCGCATCGATAGGCCTCCACATTCACAAAGGAAAAAGCAAGATTCTCAAATGCAACACGGAGAACACCAACCCAATCACACTTGATGGCGAAACTCTGGAAGAGGTGGAAACATTCAAGTACCTGGGGAGCATCGTTGATAAACAAGGGGGCAGCATTTCTACAATTGCAGAACATATGGAACTCAAAACAACTCTTAACCAATTTCAAGGTCAGAATCTTTAATACGAACGTCAAGACAGTCCTACTGTATGGAGCTGAAACGTGGAGAACTACTACGACCATCATCAGGAAGGTACATGTATTTATAAACAGTTGTCTACGCAAAATACTCAACATCCATTGGCCGGATACTATCAGCAACAGCGTTTTATGGGAGAGGACAAATCAGCTTCCAGCTGAAGAGGAAATTAGGAAAAGACGTTGGAAGTGGATCGGACATACATTGAGGAAATCACCAATGTGCATCACGACTCAATCCCTAACTTGGAATCCGGAAGGGAAGCGGAAGAGAGGAAGGCCAAAGAACACACTATGCCTGGAAATAGAAGCCGATATGAAAAGGATGAATAGCAACTGGAAAGAACTGGAAAGGAAGGCTCAGGATAGAGTTGGATGGAGAATGCTGGTGAGCGGCCTATGCTCCTCCACAAGGGGTAACAGGCGTAAGTAAGTAAGTAAGTAACTTGTTTTTGTCCGACTATAAATATCGATCCACTCTTAGCTTAATCGAGTTGGCTCACTCGCCTTCTCAGTTCCGTTTTCCTGATTGTTTGTTCAGATCAACGATTGCATGAAATATACGTGTTCAACATCCATTCTATTCTTTGACTTATTTAGTTCCATTATTCACGAACGAGAATTGAGCTTATAATTATATATGAGGATGGCTAGGATGTATATTTTGATAACTCGATGTTAATCAGTAAACGATCAAATTAGAGTCAGATAACTGGACACCAATAGTGATGAGCCCGACTTGGTAGTGTAGCGGATTATGTTGGGCTCACCATTTCGGTTGGTTCACTTGCCTTCTCCACTGCATGTCATTTTGTTTCGCTTCGCTTTCTACGCTTCGTTTCTCTGACTGTCTGTCCGGATCAACGATTGTATGGAATATACGTATTCGAAATCCATTCTCCTATTTGACTTATTTTTATTCCGTTATTCATTAATGCAAGTTAAGTCGATGACTATATACGAGGCTTGGCGGCATGTATGTTTCAATAGCAATCATCATACGATATGATTGGAGACAGATATCAGGCCACTAAAAGACGCTTTGTAGTTTTTGATATCACTAAGTGGATCAAACAAGTATAACAGTTGAACATTAAAGTATTTAAAAGTTTGTAAACACTCAAATTTATAACCCTAAGTAGAGAGATGGTTATTACATATTCAATATACCATACATGGATTGCTCAATAAGTTGTGTACTAAGCTACTGCAAATTTCGGTGAAATTAGCGAAGAACCATTAAAAGATTTATGAGAATCTCATGTTTATACGTGAAGATAAAGGACTAAACAAAGCGACAAGGTGTTTTAGTAGAGATTACGAATAATAGAAGGGTCATGCAAGATAAGGAAGACCTCTGATCTATTGAGTTAATGAAAACATCCGATGTGTGTCATCTCTTGCACTTTTCAATGACCAACACATTATCTGGGTGATTGTTGATAAACTAAATATGGTAAACTTATTAATTTATACAATTCCGGAGAAAAATTAAAACAAGGCAGTGATTAGACTTGACTTCTAAAGATTTAACAATAAAAACCATTATGAAACAAGCTTCTTATTAAAATGAAAAATAGTTTGTTGGAGATAAGAATATATATTGAGGTAAGATGGTGGTTGGAGGTGGTCAACAGGAAACCCTGGACTCGGGATTCGTGCTACTTGGCACTCGTCAGCAAGGTGTACCTGTAATCTTGAGGGAACTGGTGCTCCCTGACGGATTCGATCCCGTGTCCTACAAAAGGTCGGTCGTGGCCCGAATAGCTCAGTGGTAACGTCTCAGGCTGTGAAGCTGGGTGACACGGGATTGAATCCGTCAGGGAGCACCAGTTCCCTCAAGATTACAGGTACACCTTGCTGACGAGTGCCAAGTAGCACGAATCCCGAGTCCAGGCTTTCCTGTTGACCACCTCCAACCACCATCTTACCTTAATATATATAGTGCACACAGTGTCGATCCACCTAGATTGGTGGCCACATTGCAACTTGATCGATAGCAATCGATCAACACTGAAAAGGACTTGATACGCATGACATTGATCACTACCTAGTGATCAATCAATTGTGATAAGAACATATAGTCTTTAATAAATACTCATGAAAATTGTTTATTCACATTCATTCCAACTATATAGTCACTTACTTGAGCTGCTCTGTCTGTATAACTTATACAATACAAGAAACCAGATGAAATAAATGAACAAATAGCTGCTAATATAATAAAACCAAATGACCATGATAGAAAATATTGATCGGGTCTTGGCATCCATACTCTACTCTGTGAGCTAATACCAAATACTAAAATACATATTGTCAGAAGAATTCCTATGAATACCTAAATCATTTTTAAAAAAAGAAAGCATGGAGAAATATGAAGTTGAATTTTTGTAAGACATAAAATAAGCAATCACTATGGTATATTTCAAAGTAAAGAAATTTCTTTATTTTCATAGTTGAAATCACGAGTCAATTGAAGCTAGACCACCATGGAAAACCTGGAAGCACTGGACGGCCGTTTTTTCCTATTATGGGACTCCTCAACAGTGCGCATCCACGATCCCGCACCCGCGAGAATCTAACCCAGGGCCTACAAGCTTCATGCCGGAGCACTGAGCCGGCATCCAACGGTGTTAAGGTCTCACTTCAACTGATCCACGAAGTTGAGCAACCGTTCACCAATTGTCTTCAGTAAGTTGATATCTCTACAATAAACTTGGTTAAACTCTACCGGTCACTGCGGAATCGTGGATGAGCACTGCTAAGGAGTCCCACAAAAGGACGAAACGACCGTCAAGCAGTGCTTCCAGGTTTTTCATGGTGGTCTGGCTTCAATTGACTCATGATTTCAACTATGAAAATATTGAAATATCCACAAAAATCCCTTCTGATCTCTAAAGAAAATTCATTAAATTTAAACTTTGGACAAGGTTAAAATTGACATTTCACTAGGTGAGAACATTAAAGCAACATTATACAATTATGTTGTTACACATTATTAAACAATAGGTGAACTTTCTTCTAATCATTCTGGTATCACAAGCAGAAAACTTCACATTGACACCATGAATCCTTATTCAGTTTCATTCAAACTCCTAATGAAACAACATGAAATCTGGATTTTTTCCACACATAGAGGACAGATTATTTTTTTGGGAGAACTGACGTTGTTACCCGATGTAATAATACAAATTTTAAGCTATGGATGAAGTTAGTTAATTAACGTCAATTTACAAAAGATCCAACAGACTCAGTAGTAAGGATAAGAAATCGTTAGCTTGTTTCCAATTGACTAATTTTAGTATCGCAATCATTATGTTTGTAATTGTAGCATAAACTACTGCGGAACAAAAGCATAATGTAGAAGGCCTCAGTCTACTCACTACAAGAAGGGAAGTTTCTAATCTTATAAACCTTCTTACAAAAATCGACTAACAATTTTAGATGACAGGCTATTCTTCTAGATACTGTCTGGTAACTCTCGATTGGGTGTCGAATCTTGAAAATTCTGAAAGGTTTATCGCTTGCAAGGTAATAAATGTCATATGAACTTGAATATGAAATCTACTGTCTGGCACGAAATCTATAAAGAATGACGGTCTTCGGTGTTTAATGAAAAACTGGTGATTGGATACAAATTCATGGAATCTTTAGACGTATCATCAATTTCCATACTAGAAACAGAGGCATTTGTCTCAGGCACACCGGCTAAAAAACAGCAAGGAGATCGAAAATCATGTTTTCACACTGAAGCAGTTAATCCTCAAGTCAACAATGAATGTAAAATCTCAGTTTAATAGCCATCTTTAAATAAAATCGGATATGGCATACATGGAGTTACCACTTATCTCCATCCTCCCAGGCGTTTTTCTGAAAAAAACTAAAAAATCGACGATTAAAGGATAAACCCAACTCGCTAGGATCTTATTATAGCTACATAAACGACATCTTCATAGTACTCACAAGTTCAATGGAGACTATTACTCTACTTAAAAGGTTTAACAGCATTTATCAATCTATGACTAATTTAAATAAATAGTGATAATCCTTTATTTTTAGATGCTTTGTTGGCAAAATGAATAAATTGTTGACGAAAAGAAGTAATGATAGTAAATTAACATCGGTTGATTAATACACTCATTTTTAAAGTACATACCTCTCAGATACACTAGAAACGTGATAAACAGTTTAACATATCATGCCATACTTATTTCAACTGGTGATAACTCTGAAGCAAATTCAAATACTCAGAATATAAGCATATCCATAAAAATTTGTTGGCAAGCATATTACCCCGTTAGGACAAAGTTAGAGACAACAACAGCTCCAAAGAAGCCCACATATCTGAAATCATGGCTCTTAAACGACAAAGAATAATTGGCAAAACGGGTAAGAAAGGCTCAGCAAAATACGCTCGCCATAGCTGAGCCATATGCCCCGTTCTATAACTACTTGTTTATTAGAACCGGAGATGAGAATGAAATTCTGAAACTAACTTTATCTATGTACATTAGCGGATGTAACTGCTATTAGGAGCCAGTTACAATAAGCGAAAATTGGACGAATCTGAAACCAAACTTTTAAACACCATCCTGTTTGGTTGAGTAAGGTACAGTTAAAGTCAATTAAAAACTTTACACTAGCTAATGTAATTAATAAGAGACATCGTGGGAACGTATCTTATGTAGCTTGACCTTTGTGTTTATGAGGGATTCATATGACCACTGTCCTGTGTAAGATCATCGTAATAAACAGCAATACAATGAATACCAAATGACACATTACAGTCACTGTTAAACCGTTTTCGTTTGACCGAGATGTCTATCCTCTTTTTGTTGTTGAGTGCCTGTAACATTTTTACATTATGCTTATGTAACTGAATAATATTCGACTTCTTGCTGAACGTTTGTCAATCTTCGCATACTATACTATGCAATCTATAACCATATACTCCAATTCATTCATTCACTAACCAATAACTCCTAAACGACAGATCATCAGCATTATTAAGACCACAGAATTTTAAAAACTCAGTTTAAGTGATAATTTAACCGTTTGTTTGTATATTATTTGTCTTCTACAACAGGTTACCTTTGTAGAAAGAAAGGTAACAACGACATAATATAATAAACTTAGTAATCTTACTTTAATTCCGTACAAAGTCTAGTCATTCGTTTCTAAAATGGAAATTTTGAAGTGAAAATATCCGCAGGAAATCATATAAGCCATCTGTTCAACTATCCTAATTCCTAGAGACAGAAAAGTCGCCCTCGCATTAATGTGTTTTGTTATGGATAGGAGAACAAGTTACTTACCGGGTGAAATAACTTTGATTTCAGTAGGTCATTCTTTTTTACCAGGGATTAAAGTATATAGTCGTATATTGATACCTTACCAAACAATATTTTACTGAGTCCTCATCGTAGTGTCCTCATTCATATAAAATCTTGTTTCAACTTATAATTAATAGGTAACATTAGGTTGGAAGCTACATCCAAGACCTAAAAAATTTCATTCTTATGTATCTAAAAAGTAGTGAGCTCATTTCATATATTCTTGTATCAACAAATCCCTTCACAGAAGCCTACCGCAGAATTTAGGCGGTAACTACATTGAGTGCGCTAAAACTTGATCCTTATACAGAATAGTTTTAAATTATAATTGAGAAAATAATTTCAAAAAACTCTGATCCACTGGTTCTATCAAAGGTGAATGATACGCCGAAATCGGCAGTAAATCAATTCTATTAAGTATGCACTGATTTACATTTTTAAGATGAGTAATGGGTTACCTACTAGAAAATTCACACTAATAATCTAAGTTGGTCTAAACTCATTGCGGGATAATATTAACCCTAAGCCCATACAAGGTAGTAACTGAGATACAAATAATTTAATCATGTGAATAAAGTAACGGTGATTACTGATGGTTAGCTTAAATGGTTTTACTCACCTCACCAACAAGAGCCATGGTTGATTCAGCAGCTGGATGACCAAACAACAAGTGATACAAGACCAGGATTAAAATGACGCAACATTTTGCCGTAAATGCTATAGTTATTAAAACTTGAACACCAATCAACCAGTATGGATTTAGCCACTGCCATATACCAATCTTGAAGAAAAAACGATCATATACCCAAAAGCACCCGGTCAATACATTAGCGTGGTAATCCTAAACTCTGATGAATCGAACTTATTATTTAGAATAGTACTTGTGGATGCACAAATTTGTCGAAACACACAGACCATATCCCCATGTGCAGAAAAGAACTATGTACACGATCATACGACTGCAACCAATAAGGACTAGAAAACGACAAGAAAAAGAACAGGAACCCTAAAGCAGCCGATATGCAAGCTGCATAAAAGGGCATGTACATCTGAGTCAACTTGTAATCTTTCTTCATTTCCTCAGGAAAATTTATAATTCCGGACTACCCAGAAGGTAAACAACTTTAAGTAACTAAAACAATGTTCAGAATACAATCTTCAGTCTTCAATAGGACGATAACAGAGATTTCTAAAAAATATATTTACCGATTTTCAGACAAACTAACGAGATCCTATTGATTTCTTTTCAGTCTTCAGTAATAAGGATAGTAGGTTGATGAACCTGTGTTAATCCTGATAGATTGCCTTCTAGTGAAGGTCCAGCTTCTCCTTGAAAATATTCACTGATGGAACTGATACTACTTGTTCGGGTAGGGTGTTTCAGTCATTGACCACTCGATGAGAAAAATTGGGACCCCACTTTTAGTTTATTGGGTCGCGGTTTATGGACCTTTTTGCCATGACCTCGGAGATTATCAGTGCTGGAGGAAGCAAAATGATAAGACATATTAACACCCGAATCATAATTAAAGATACCAAATGCCAGTATAAGGTCACTTCGTGTCCTATGATAAGGCAAGGGGAAAGGGTGCACACGTTTCAAACGCTCATCGTAGGGGAGTTTAGAAATACCCTTCACTAATTTCGTCCCCTCACGCTAGACACGCCCGAGGGAGTTAATATTCTTTATGAGACAAGGGCTAGCTGTTTGGATATAAGTGTGCTCTTACGTAGGTAGGACATAAAATTCGAAACCCCTCGTCAAAGCATTCGACTTATTATTATTATTCTTTATGTTCGTGAACGCGTGGAAGAGATGTGCCTTCGATCTCCGTCAAAGTTCAAGGACAATAAACGCATATCAGTCAATTGCACTTCATGGGCTAGTTCATGAGGCTGTGGTTGCACTCTCTTTCTTGTAATTACTCTTACTAATGTGTTTCTGAAATAATGTCCTTTGTTTTGTAAAGTCATCAAAGAACCCTGGTACCTGGATACGATGAATGGTTAATCAACGATAGATACTAAACGCGAGGTGGTACTTGAAGGTCAGTTGTCTCTCAGTCGTTCCACACAGATCTTCTATATTCAATATTTACATAACAATAATACGAAGACAAGCAGGTTGTTACTCTTTGCATAGCACTATCTGTTAGATAATTCAGTTGACAAAAATAACCGTAAACGAACTTAATTGTAGAAAGGGTGCTATAGGATATTATGCTACGACTTACAAGACTATCATTCCAGCAGTGATAATTAAGTTTTATTAACTCCCTGTCATAGTTGAAAAAGTGCTGTTTAATACCTCTTTGAATGTCTGTGACCATTTTAAGGGGTTTCGCAGCTTTTATTGTCCTTTGTAAATTGTTGTCATGAGGAAAGCAACTCTATAGACATATTAAAATGGTTTAGTTTGGATTCAACAAAGATTGTGTTATTTTTCAAAGTTCATTCATCACTCCGGTTTTTTCGTTTTGACGAGCAAGAGCTTGCTATTTTTATGACAAATAAAATATTCAGCACATCTACCACAAAGTCAGTAATGTAAACTAAGACATTTTCCTATATTTATGAAGGCGAACGGCTACATATTAGAAGCTACTCTAGTTACCAGAGGAAAAAAGGTAGTGAGTCTCCCAACTGTAAACAGGACGGTGGCTAGCTAGATGATTTCAACTATTCTCTGGAACATCCTGGATTAGTGTCAAATATGACTGTTTCCATATGTGTTATTACGGTCAACATCGCATGCAAATCGTATGCTATACACCTTTCTGTCAAAGTGAAAATAATCGAATTTGTCATCTTTCACCTTCTTAATATAAGAATAATAAGAATTTGTAAATTAGGTTCTGTACTTGAAGATGCTTAGCTTGATATTCTGCACAAGCTATTTCGAAATTCCTGTGACATTCGATTAAAACTCTCATTAAACTTGTAGGTTATGTAGTGAATTGTTACTAACCAAGTTGAAATTATGTCACACCTCAGAAGATTGATCACTGTATATGGAATGGTCGGCCGCACTTAGACAAGGTCGCAAGTGAACAACAGAGGCATGTCTGTTACAGTTGCGGCAGTGTTACTTTTAGATAATTCTACCCAGCAAACCGCTTCATTAGTGAGATTCTTTCATTTTTTGAGTGAACAAGAGAAAAATTGTAGCCTGACCGCAAGGTTGGGCTCGATTTTGCGGCTGGTACACCGAGGGCTGATGTTTAGGAATCGTCTGATTGACCTTATGTCTGACCACCGAGACAAAATTGATTGAGCAAATAACAATCATAAACTCATGCCACTTGAGAAAGATGATAGCAACAATGTCTTGAAAATAATGACAATAATAACTAGTATGGTGAACTCTAATTGATACTCTTTCCAAAGATTTATATCAATTACGAAATGTGTAAATATTAATTTTTACGATCAAGATGGCTAGATTAGACTTGGATATATGAACAAGCAAAACCAGTGGTGGTGTGAAAATTGATATCTAGATACTGAGTACATAGAAGAATAGTAGGAATATTTATTTTCGATAAAAAGTTTTATTATGTTTTTAAACTAACATGCAATTATTTTACAACAGTATAGTGATACTGACTGATTAACACTGTCACATTATAATGTCACCAAAAACTGGTAACAAATTTAAATGAATAATTAATTGATTAGAAGACCACATCGTGACTGTAATGGGAAGTAATCATATCTTCCGCCATCTTATGTCATTATTCTCATACTTTCTGAAATTTTCTGCATGTGCACTTGTTGTAAGGGCGTCGAAACAAGATACTTATCGGTAACTCACAAGCAGTATATATATATATATAGTCTACGATACACTACACTAACCCTTCAAAATTATTTTATAATTTACTACTAAATGTCATCTGGACTGATAATAATGTACTTGTACGAATTAAGTTCTCGTATCGAGTGAAGTAGAACATGTAAGTTTTAGAATCTTCCTGTACATCACCATTGACAGTCGGTTTATTCTTATTAGAAAATAAAGATATAATTACAATTAAGTTATGTTGGTCCCAAGCCTCGTGGTTACTACTCAATCTTGCCTATTTTTTTGATGATAACCAACTGAATCGACTCCCTTAATAACTGACTGGAGCAAAATTATTCTTTCGCAAGAAATGTACCGCGCGAAGAGACCATAGAAGTTCGCTATCAAAGCTCCTCGTCTTGCGTCATTCCATGATACATGATACATGATACACATTAACTATGTCTGGCTAACTACTGAACACTGAGTGATGTCCCGTCTAATCTAATGATATTTCCACTTAACATGTGATCTTTTAAGGGCATGATAACACTAAGCAAACCCTGGAGTCCAAGTAAAACTAAATTTTGAATAAGGTATCTCAGATGCCAGTCTTGTTATCAGTGTTAAACTTCCCATACGTTCAATCATATGCAGCAAAGGGATACTTGATACCAGTTATTTGTTCATACTTTTCGCTTGAAATAGTATTAGTAGGTCGAAATTATGAAACAAGACACCTTGCTCCACGTTTGTGTAGATGAACGGAGAATTAGAAGAACGTGTTTAAATCGATCAACAAGGCTGGAGAGGTGATTGTTGCCTATAAGTGCTTGGTTTGAACAGCTTTCATGTGACCGTCATACGCATCTGGTACGAGTAGTTACATTGGCAAACGTGAGTATTAGTTTTGATCTTGATTGTGCCAGTTCACAACAAGTTATAAAAGACACTTCCTGTTCAAAGTAAAGACGTTTTAATAGACGTGATTTTTCAAGTTACTTAAATTTTTAGCATTTAGATCGAATCAGTTTGGATTTGAATGTGCGAAGACTTTCATGATGAGCTTTAAAACTGCAGCTATATTTTCTCTGTGTTGAATGTTATGTCTTGCCTTGCATTATGCTTGTCGATTTGGGGAATAAATGATTTTCTCATATTTTACATTAGTCTTAACAAGGCAGCTCACTTGAACATCGAGTTTCGCTAAATTGAAAATACTGATTAGTGTTTAGACCTGTGAATGCTTGTATCGCTTTTCACGTTGGGTGATTAGTTTGTTCAATATCAACATATGAAGATAATAGCTATTATTTGTGCACAACATGGAAAAATTATCTGAGTAAATTTCAGACATTCAACCTACAAGCACGTGTAAACCGTCTGAATGTGAAATCATATCATAAAGGTGTTTCTAACAGCTTCTAAACGTTTAGAATGAAATTAGTCTCTATAATACCACGACTCGGGAAAGTTTGTAGTATTCGTTTAACTGTCATGTTATTATTTTCATTTATACAAAAGGTTTCATTTATTAAATGCTGAAAAATGTCTAGCCGATGAAGTGAGAGCCATTTTTCAGCTAATGCCCGCAGGTTTATACGAAACCTAGAATCTTCAATCGTATGGTTTAATAAGCCTCAAATTATCTATAGGTTATATATTTATATTTCGTTATTGAACAATTGACAGGTAATAACTCAACAGATAATCTCAACACTTATTTGCGTTTTTGAAATCACATTTGGTTATCCTCTAATAGAACATATTAAATAAGTAAACTTAGCATTAGTACTTGATAAGCTGTTGTATGTACATAAACGAAATCTAGTTCGCGGTTAGATCTTTCTATTTTCTATAGAAGATGTGTGCTGTGAGGATCTACAATAACTCAAAACATTTGAGGAGAAGTATTAGAGGCATCCTTATCATACACTCTCCGTACTTCTGATTTTTCCAGGAGTTGATATCTAAATCACATGTCAGGGACTTGTCTCGAAGTTAAAAATGTTTACAATTTGTATACTGATTATTTTCAAAGCCAGTAAGGTCATATACTATAATAGATACAAAGTAAGTGTTCTATTTCATGCCCAACAAGTGAGCTCTAAGAGTGTTCACTACACATTTCCAAGTGTTATTTCATATTTTTTGCTTCATTTAATTTGATTATGACAGTGTTTGATAAATGCAAAAGAAAGAGGCCGATGGCTTCACTGTCATCCTATACAAGAGACGATGGTTTTCGCTACTCATATTCTGTCTGTGTTCATTTGGAAATGCTTATCAGTGGATTCATTTGAATATAATCTCTGATATAGTTTTGTTCTTTTGGGATGCTTCCATTCCAGGTGAGTCACTGTTTAAACAAATTTATTTTCGTGTTTAAATTCTATTTAATTTATTTGATTCTCAATCATGATTAACCATGTTAGAACAAAAAACGTTTTAATTTGTGCCTTATGAAAAAATTAAATCTCAGAGAAATGTTTAAAATTTAGTATTTTTAATCTCTTAACTTGTTTCTGGAGTCTAAAATCTGGTAGACTCTCGCCAATTACATGGCTTTAATAGTGAACCTGATAAAAAGTTGGTATCCTCTTCTGCGTGTCCAGCTCAATATTTTTCAGTCTTTTGTTGTTTATATTAATATATAAATTGCTGTTAAAATTACTCCAAAACGAAGAGAAACAGGTATATTTGTCTAACCTTTTCTACAACATTTCTATGGGTCAAAGGGGTTCTTAGTGTCAGTGAGGGTTCTTTGATCTGTTTTGGAGATATTTTGATGTTTCACACTTAACCTGCCTGTAGCGCTGTTTTTAATCAAATCGATCAAAATGTGCTCTATCTTTGTTAAATATTTCAAGATTTTGAAACCGTCTTTGCTTTACGTTTAATTCTTTTTTTCATGTTGGTTAGAATATTTTAATATCTAATAATATGGGGAATTTGAATTATATCTTCGTATCGCGAAAGTTTTTAATCCAGAAATAAATAATTATTATTTTGAGGCTATTGTCTCAATTCTACCTAATTATAAAATAATTTAAAAAACAGAACCGACAGATTTGTGTGCAGTTACAGCGTATGACTATCTGAATACAATTTTTTTTAATATTAAGTGCTTACTTAAAGTGGAAAATCATGAAGATACATAATTATCATGTTTACAAAATATTAAAGTGTTTTTTTTTAGAAATTATTTGTTCAAGTAATGATTAAATAAAAGTGATTACTGGTGTCGTATTACCAATGAGCCTGTAAGCATAAATACAGGAAACTTTCCTAAGACTTACTGTGATTTTTTATCAAAAACTAGCTTTGGTAGGGCTAGCTGTAGAGTTTAGACAACAGACCTAAATTCAGAATATTATATAAGTTAAAATGACTCATCTGACAAATTTTGAAATTTTTATATTATTTTGCTAGTTATGCTGTTTGCCATCAAGATAGTTTAGGGTGTTTTGAGTTCACGACTGAACGGCATAATGAGTAGGGATAAATATATCTTTCATTAAGCCTATCATATTATACCAAGGCTTATTCCGTTTGGCGACAGTGGTAACAAAAGTCAAGTCTGAATAGAGTCGGAAGAGTCTTTTTTAAACACTCTTTTACTCATATAGATGATAATAAGTGCAATAGAGTGAAATATTTCTGAGCTTACTCAAAATTGTTAATCATTGCAGGCGTTAATATGACCTCAAACAGTTAATGGGTAATGTAACAAGGAAATGGGCATTAAATAACATAACAAATGCACAGACATACGCACAATCACACATGTATAAGTGTAGAATTAGAGGAATATGAATATATGTGATATTTGTGCATAAAACCATAACTCTCTGTGAAAAAATAGTCATTTGAAAGGTAAAGATGACATGGAAACCATCTACTAGTTTAGTTGATAAAGTGAGTTCTGAAGCTAGGATAATGTAAGTGTACACACTACGGTGTTATGATGTAAAAATCAAAAATTACTTATCATTCCGTTGGTGTTATAAATTTACTAGAAATAATTGCTTGTTTACTGTGCTTTTTTAACTGTTCTTATGTATTCTATCAGTTGAGATGTCTATACGATGATATGTTGGTCTATATTTAAAATGTTGTCTACTGTTATCATCATATTTTGACCATTGTGTCATTTCTGGGTCTTATACTGATTTACGTGAATCTAATAGTCCTAAAATAATAAAGTTTTGGGTAAATCAAGTTTCTTTTCTAATATACTTATATTTCCGTTTATAAGTAAATAGGGTCCAACTAAACTGGTTTAGCATATAGGCTGTATAATATACTTCATTTCAAAATGATGGTATATGGAAAAAGCTTACACAGAATGTTTTTTATTATTTAGAATTAAAGTGATGAATCTTTTGATGTTTCAAACACGTTCTATAAAACTTTGTGTAGGACCTATACTTTCTAATCTACAGAAATACCTTTTTACTTATGAAATAAGTTGATTATTAATTAAACCCGGCAACATAGTGGATAGATATTTGTCGTGTAAAACGACAAGGACTTAGCTAATATCTTAGTATTTATATTTTATTGAAAAGAATAAATCTAGAGCTGATGAGCTTCAAACAAGACTAAGATTGCGCCTACTGAAACATAATACCTAAAACTGTGCTTTATCAGCATAATTTAAAGAATTCCTACAACAGGTATAACAGTCAGTCAGTTAGTTAAAATGTAGAACTTCGTACGTACGTAAATCAGTTCGAGTTGCCATACCACATTATCACAGAGATCCAGTTATCAATTCAAATCCCATAGTGGTAGAAACAGTAAGAGTATAAGCAATAATCCGAAAGATTAGGGTTTGAAGATGTTATTCAAGGAGTATAATCCAGTGAAATAAATTTGAAAAAAGAAAAAAGATAGAGACATGAAGAACTCAGAAGATTAGAATTTGGTAGAACACAAAGAGTGGATGCAACTTCGCCATTGCAAACGATTTTGAACCATGTCATCAGTAGATGAAACTAAAACAGCTTTATCTGTTTGATAAATAATTTGTATTTATTCTACCTACTTAATTCTCATGAAATAGGATAAGTTTTAAGGCCTCGAAATTAAATACAACTGGTTTTAAATGTGTACTATAAATAAAGCTTAGACAGATTTTGAAATATGACCAATCATTTAAATGTGATATAAACGTTTGTATATCGAATCGCTTTTATTTTCTAAGATCAAAGTTAACAGTAATAGAATTTTAAGTTTTTATTTTATTTATGTCTAGTATATTGTTTACGGTACGAGCTACTGCTGTTCTACCATGTTCCACTCTTATTAGCAGTGAAACATGGCCGATAAGAGTAGAGGATATTCGTAGGCTACTAGTATTCGATCATAGGTGTCTTCGAAGCATTGCTAGTATATCCTAGGACCACCGGGTAGGTAATGCAGTTGTTGACAAATCGATTGATGAAATAGTGAAACTTTATCAGCTGGAATGGCTGGGACAAGTGTTACATATACCCAACTACCGACTGTCTCAACGAGCGATGTTTCATGGTGTAGGAGTAGGTTGTAAGAAAGCTAGGGGCGGTCGAACCAAAACATGGTGCAAATCCATGTAGTCACTAACAAGTTTCATCTACTGATGACATGGTTCAAAATCGTTTGCAATGGCGAAGTTGCATCCACTCTTTGTGTTCTACCAAATTCTAATCTTCTGAGTTCTTCATGTCTCTATCTTTTTTCTTTTTTCAAATTTATTTCACTGGATTATACTCCTTGAATAACATCTTCAAACCCTAATCTTTCGGATTATTGCTTATACTCTTACTGTTTCTACCACTATGGGATTTGAATTGATAACTGGATCTCTGTGATAATGTGGTATGGCAACTCGAACTGATTTACGTACGTACAAAGTTCTACGTTGTGACTGACTGACTGTTTCATCTACTGAATAATAACAAGATAAATGTTATATTGTAGTCGAATGATTGTTCTAAAAAGCCATGAGATTGTATATTTAGTTACATTTATCATAAGAGATAGTAATGTATACTGATTTTAACTGAAGTACATTCTGTAATATAAATTCATTTAATTGTATTTATTTGTCAAGTGTTCTAATGGTTCAATCTCAGTTAGTTGACAGATAGATTTTTATTATTCCATGAATTCATATATAGCTTTATGATGCCCCATGTTGTTTTGTTTTACTACCTAGTACTTCCTTATTTACTTACGCCTGTTACTCCCAATGGAACATAGGCCGCCAACCAGCATTCTCCAACCCACACTTTCATTGCACTTCCTTTCTAGTTCTATCCAGTTTTTGTTCATTCTTCTCACGTCTGTCTCCATTTCTTGGCGTAATGTGTTCTTTGATCTTCCTGTTCTCCTTTGGTCTTCAGGATTCCATGTGAGGGCTTGTCTTGTGATGCAATAAGGCGATTTCCTCAAAGTATGTCCTATCCACTTCCAACGCTTCTTCCTGATTTCTTCCTCCGTTGGAATTTGGTTTTTTGCTTCACACATTTACTACCTTGTACATTTACTTATTTTTGAAAACTATCTTCAAAGGGAGCTAGTATTTAATGATAAACAACTTGAATTCATTGTCCGTATATATTGAGGGCGCTCAATGAGTAGTACTAGGTTTAGACGTAGGGTACCACGTAAAAAGGTAGAATCTATTAATGAAGTAGGGAATATTCATCTAATGAGGCATCGAGGACAAGTGTTAGATATGCTCAATCACTGCTTACTTCAATGAGCGATGTTTATTGACGTAGAATTGAATTAGACGAAAGCTAGGAGTGCTTAAACAACAGGAATCATCAGTTTATGAGTACGCTAACTGTCAGTTTGAGCGATGTTAATAGATCCAAGTTATCTGATTTGGGTCATCGTGATAACCGCGAATAGTAGAAGAAGAATCTTGGCGATATGGCTTAGAATCGTTCAAAATAATGCAGGTACATTCACTGTTATTCCTCTTTTTGATCTAGAATTTCAGCATTTCTTTATACATGCCTTTCCATTCTATTTTTTTCTAACCATATTCCTAATATCCAATGTTTATTATCTCTGATCTTCACTGCTACTACATCATACCGATCTCTTTTGCCATTCTACTTGATATTTTTATCTTGCGATGCCAACGTGTCATGGGTACTTTGATCAGCGTGTTGTTGTGTCGGTTACTATGTTGTTTGAATTTACTAACTGACTGTCACTCCTTTAGAACTGATTTCGGACCTTATAGATGTTTCTCTGTTCAGGGTTTCAACAATAAAAACTTCATCATTAAACAAACCGGAATCAGAGAACAAACACCTTAGTAAAATTATACAACGTAGATACAAATCTTACA